ACATAAATTTAATTTTATTTATGATTACTAATACAATTTATATATTAATGAATGTTTCTCTTAAAGACATAATTCCAAACAAAAACCCTTCATAATTCAATCTAAACAAAATTCGCTTTAAAATCTCAAAAAAAGTGGAATCTTACTGTTAATGTAATCAAAGAAACTGTCTAATTTGTGCTCGTAAACGTTCTTCTTCGATGTTAAGCATGAAAAACTCAATTGTATATGATGAGAATTCTCCTGTTTCCAAATGTACTATTGAATAACCAAAACCAATCTAGCCATTTAATCGATCTATCTCTAGACAATAATCAAATTATATGGGGAGAGTCTCTGTCAATATCTCAACTACAACTAATACAACAAACAATTATAGTAGAACTAGAAAAACCTCAATGGAATCATCACCTCCAAAAGATAATAGTATAATATTAATCTTATTTAGTTATTGGCAGACATTCATTTAAATACTTATATGTAATAGGTAAAGGAGGATTTGGAAAAGTATGGAGAGTTGAAATGAAAGCCAATAAATAGGAGTTTGCATTAAAAGAAATGATTAAAGCAAAGTAAATCATATATACATTAATTAAGGATCATATCTAAACGATCTGTTAATTCAGTCATGAATGAGAAATACCTTCTCGAATATCTCAAACATCCTTTTCTTGTAAACATGCATTATGCATATCAAGATAGAGAAAATCTATTCTTAGTTCTTGATCTTCTTAGAGGAGGAGATCTTCGTTATCACATAGGTAGATAAAAGAGATTCACTGAAGAATAAACAAGTAATTATATAAACATTTATATAAACAGGATTTTTTGTATGCTGTATCTTATTATCATTGTAATATTTGCATTAAAATGGTATTATTCATAGAGACATCAAACCTGAGAATTTAGTGTTTGATAAAGATGGTTATTTAAGATTAACTGATCTTGGAGTCGCACGATTAAATAAAGATTCTTAAGCTAGTGATACATCAGGAACTCCTGGTTATATGGCTCCTGAAGTTATGTGTAGAATGGATCATTCATTTCCAGTAGATTATTATGCTGTAGGAGTCATAGCATTTGAATTACTTCTTGGAAAACGTCCATATAATGGAAGAAATAGATAAGAAATTAGAGAATAAATATTATCTAAGCAAGTTTAAATGAGAGATGAAAAATTCTCAGTTAAAGTTTAAGATTTTATTAATAGAGTAAATTTTACAAATAATATTAGTTATTAATACGTAAACCGTAATAAAGATTAGGTTTTTAAGGAATACATGAATTATTTGAGCATCCTTGGTTAAGCAATTATAATTGGGCTAAACTATTAAACAAAGAAATTTAAGCACCATATATACCTGGAGTATAAATATAATTATGATTTAGAGCATAGATGGTAATTTTGATTATCAAAGTCAGATATCTGCAGATTCTGAACCTTAGGAAGAAGCTTCAACTTTGTTAAGAAGGAAAAGTGTTTAATGTTTATTTGAAGGATATAAATATTTTTGATTATAGTATCATTTTTATTTACTTACACCTAAATTGGCTACTGTTATTCCTGCATTTAACATAGATACTAAGTAATTAGCATATTCATGAGCTCCTCTTTCTAATTCTTCAGCTTTTCTTTTTTCTAATCTTTTATGATGATTAACAGTTTCTTATTTGATTGTTTTTATTTCTGATTTCATCTTTTTTTTTCTATTTTCATTATCATCTCTCATAGCAATAGCTTCAGATTTTAATTAATCAGCTAATTTAATATATCTAGCAAACTTCAATTCTAATTCATCTTAATTTTTTTCAGATTCAGTAAATTTCATTTTGTATTCTTATATTTAATTTCTTGTTGAATATTTATTCTCAGCTAAATAGATTTATACAATTGGAGAAACTATAATATATAAAATAATATTTACATTTAATAGGTACCATAACTCTTTTATTTCTAGCCTTAACAGTTGTTTAACTTAATACAATTGGAGGTAGTGATTATTCATATTATTGTTATTTTGCAAATTTCTATTCTGCTTATTTTTTAAATATATTGCCAGCTCCTAAATCAAGATTCCATTCTTTAAGATATTTTTAACTATTTGCAATTTCTATTCCTGTAAATAAATATGAGAATTCATCCAATAATTACTTTTTTAAATCATCATTAAATTTACTTCTACTTAAAGGAAATGAATAAAATAAAGCATAAAATACACTTTAAGCTAATATATCAAAATAAGTTTTAAAAAATAATTGTCTATCATCTTTACGATCAATTGTTAAAAATAAATTGATGTAATTTCTAGATATTCTTATGAGTAATTTTTAATCTTCTTTTGGTAATTTATTAAAGTTAATTTTGGGATAAGTTTCAGATGTTTCATCAGGTTGAATATCTCTTTTAAAAAATTTAGTAACAACATACCAAAAGGAATCTGAAACAACAGCTTTATGTTCTTCTAAATTTAAATATTTCTGCCATTAAGTAAACATGGATTTTACCTTTATAATATTATCTTTAGTTTACTTCTAATAAACCATCTTCTTTATCATTTGATTTTGAAGGGAATTTCATACTATTTAAAACATTTGTGTTTATCTTCTTAAATTCTACTTAATTTGGTAATGGTGTATATAGTTCATCAAAAGTATTTGGTGGTTATGCTTCTTCAATTTTTAATATTGTTGTGGCTTTATTTTATTCTTAAGGTTCTGTTATATAAGTAGCTGTTCCTAAAAATGTTGTTGTTGTTGGTCCTCTTCTTAAATCAGGAGCATACATTGTTAATCAAATATGTGAATGAATGAAAATTATATTGAATTACAACTATATTTATTTATCAATAATAAATATATACAAAACTTTAAGGTAATAATATGATATTGAAATATTGCTTTGGAATCTATAAATTTAATCCAATCATAATTTAAAGAGTATCAGCATTGCTTAAAGTGAAACCCTATCCAATTAATGAAGATATTTAATATTAAGGAGAAGTCAGAGTTATTGATGATAAATATAAACTCTTAGGAGTGATGCCATTTCAATAAGCAAAAGAATAAGCAATCAAAGAAGAGAAAGAGATCATTCTTATGAATGAAAATGTAGATCCTCCATTATGTAGAATATGTGATTATTCTGATGAATTGGCATAAAGATTTCTTACAGAGATTTCTCCACCCTTTAAAAAAATATAACCTTAAAGAAATATAAAAATAGGACCAAAAATCACATTCAAAGATTTATAGGTTAAAGTAATAGCAGCAGAAACTATTTTAAAAAAACAAAAGAGAATTATTATTAGTACTGTTTGTTTTGAAAATGAAGTATTAATATGCAAAAATGTTTTCTATAAAGTTAAAAAATCTATGTTAATTTTAGTTTAAAGATATGTGTGAATAATTTATGAAACCATTAGGTAGTATTAGAACTCGTGAGTATTAGGACACTTCAGAATAATATGGATCTAAAGATTAAGAGAAATAACCATAAATAGAATTAGAATATGAATTTGAGAAAATTGGTGAAATAGAATAGCCTTAAACAATTCCATAGTTGAAAATTGAAAGATAAATTAATCAAACATATTCTTTAACTACTAGGTAGATCTTACATGAAATATGAAAGATAAGAATTATTGAATGCAGATGAAGCTATCAAAGAATTCAATTCATTATACAAAGATATAGATAAAGAAGAGGGATAAATAAATGAAGAAGATTTGACCAATGAGAAAATTTGGCCCAAATAAAAAATTAAGAGAAGAATAACCAAATACACATATCCAAAATAAGATATTGATAAGATTATGATGGAAAAAGAAAAAGGAGAAAAGGAAAAGGAAAAGGTTTGATAATGTCAATTATTTATTATTTCTAATTTTTAAGAGTAAAGTAAATTACATTATAAATTTTCATATTTTTATAGAATACTTTGTATTTGTTAATTTAGTAGATGTTGTTGATAAATTAACTAATTCTTTGACTATTTCTTAATTCTTTCTTTCATTTTCGAATTTCTAATTTAAAATTCAAAATGTTTACTTTATAATAAATAAAATATATAAGTAAAAGTATTAATTGTAATACAGAAATAACCATATATATTTCTTAAGCACTATATGCTGTTTGACATGTATCATCTTTATAATTTAATCCTTAAATATAAATCAAAACTATATTTTAATATAAATTTAATACCACAAATTGGTATCTAAATAAGAAGTCCAATTGTTGTTAAGAATTTATAAGGTCCTGTTACTCTTTTGTTTGCACTCATAAAAAAATTATATGGAATTCCTAATACAATTAACCATACTGTTGAAAAAATCATTAAATAATAAATATTATCTTCCAAACAACTTAATTTCTAATTTACTAATATTAGATATAATGAAATGCAAGTTATAGGTAGGCTTGTTATTCTTATAACAATCTAACTGAAAAAGAATCCTAATACAACCTAAATCAATTTCATTAAGTTACCCATAAAGCAGTTGTTGTCTAAAAATAAAATGTTAATTGTTGTATATTTATGACATATTCACATTCATTAATATTTATTTCAGTACTTTGATAAATCTTCATAAATTCTATAATTCCCCAACATATGTTTAAGAAGGCTAATAAAAAATTATCAGAAATTTGCATTTTATCTTTAGCTTTCACATATACAAATGCTATTAAATTTAGAATTATCATAAAACATGCACCTTTAAAAGAAACAGATTAAAATTATAATCCATCATCTAAAATTTGATATAATTTTCTACTTGAACATATTTGATTAACTTTAGTTAGCATTTAAATTGATAGAATTGTATAAGCATTCATTCTCAAATATAAGAGAATTATATGCATTCCTCTATCTGCAACGTTCATAATAAATTATAATTTTTATATATATTATTTATGTATATTACATATTGAAAATAGAGTAGAATTAGTTTATATATATAATTATTTAAAGTATTTTTGATTTATAATTAATTATTATTATGAAACCAATTCATACTCCAATTAATTTAAGTCTATCTTAATTATATCAATCGGAAATCAAATAACAATAATAACCAGACAGAATTTTAAAAGATTTAAATGGTTCTGCTTTTAAATTTAAATTTGACTCAAATTTTAGTGATAGAAAACAAAGATAACCACAATAATAATAATAATAATAATATTAGACTAATTTAGATTGTGGATTAAGAAAATCATCTATATTTGAGGATTACAAATTTGAAATGGAAAATGGTAATAGTTGTAGGAATAACAATTAAATTTATAAATTTAATCACTTAAATTCTAGTTCTGAATTTAATTATTAAAAACCAAATATATAAAATGTTTAAGGATAATATCAATCAAATTAAGCATTAATTGGAAGTAAAATGTTAAGTCCTCTTTAAAAGATGAATCATTTTATTTAAGAAGATCTTGAAAGTTTAAGATTTAGTTAACAATTCTAGAAACTTCATTTTAATGATAATAATGTAGATGATTATAAAATATCACTTTATTATTATAAACCTTAGATTGGTATCACATATTAAATGAAAGATAACTTATTGTTAGTGACAATAGATTAAAGTTAGATAACAAAAATTAGATAATATTTGAATGAATTTTAGATTGATACCTTAATAATATTTTACTCCATAAATTTTCCTTAATAATTATTAATGTCTATAAAATAAATAATATAAGGAGTTGTTAAATTTTGTAACTTTATGTAATGGGAAGAATATAATATTTAAGATAAATTAACATAAGTAGGATTTATGCATCCAGAAATATATAATGAAACATTAATAGATAAGTAAATATATATTAATTTATGTTCTGCTTTACCTATTCTATCTAGATCTAATTTAGATACAATAATAAATTAATTATAAGAAAATGAGAAATGTTGTAAACTTAAGTTTAATGATTCATTATAAAATTAATTAGGAATATTAAAATAAGAGAATAAATAATTAAGTATATAATAATTATTTGAAAAATACTTTTAGACATTTCATGCTAAGAAGATATTTTTGGATTATTTAAAGAATCCAATATCATCTTATTAGATAATAAATAAAAGATTATAGAATTTGTACATATTTCAATAATTATCACTCTAACCTTCAAATTAAAAATTTATAAAAATGCCAGGAAAGATTGGATCATTCACATAAAGTATTATTAAAATAATATAATATAGTTTTGAAGGTTTTGTCAACATATTAAGAGAAGAGTGAACCATATTCTAAGTTATTTACATAATTATAATATTTAATTGAATTTGTAACAGTAGTGAAATAATTGGTAGTAATAGATAGAAGAGCATAATAATAAACATGTTAATTATTAAAAGATTTAAGTAATGTAAATTTAGAAAGTATATGTTAATTATCTGATATTATTGAAACATCTTTGTTATTCAATTAATCAAATGTTTAAATAAAAGAACAAAAATATCCTTAACTTGAATAGTTATTATCTTTATAAATTAATTTAAAAACAAGAATTTAATTAATAAAAAATAAACATTAATCAGAATTGGCATTAGTAGGTATTAAACCTTAATCTATTGAAGTGAAATATGTAAATAATTCATATAAGTTGGTTGTTTAGTCAAATTTAAATTTAGAGGATAAAGTATAAACATTAGGATGGGAAATGATTAGTGAAAGAGATGCTGAAAATTTTGTAGTTTTTAAGACTTCTTATACTCTTAGTTTAGATGATTAATTTGGTGATTTAGAAAATTAAATTATATCTATGTAAGAAAAGATCTTAATAGAACTTGTGAAATAAATTTAATCATATTCTGATTAATTATAATAAATAGAATAATTAATTGGAGAAATTGATTATTATATAGGATTAAGTATTGCAATTACATAAATGAGATTATGTATTCCAAAATTAAATAATAATAATCAAATGAAAATTTAAGGAGGAAGACATTTATTAGTTGAATAAACAAAAAAATAAAATGTTGAATTTTAACCAAATGATTTTGTATTAAATGATAAAAGAATATTTTTAATTGTAGGTCCAAACTTTTCTGGTAAATCTGTATTTATTAGATAAATTGGTATAATAATTTATTTGGTTCATTGTGGATTACCAGTTCCAGCTTTGAATGTAGATACATATTTATTAGAAGAAATTCATGCTTTATTTCCATGTGAAGGTAAGTAATAATCAAATTTAAGTATAACTAATCTAGAATTATTATAATTGAGTTCTGCATTAAAAGTTTCAAGTAGATCTTTAGTTTTGATGGATGAAATTGGAAAAAGTATATATTTCTATTTATATTATATAGCATTTAAATATTAAGTTGGATCTAATCTTCATAAATCTGCATTAGAATATTTTATGTAGATGTCTCCAACACCACCTATAGTATTATCAGCCACTCATTATCAAAATCATGAAGAATTACTTTAATAAAAGTGTTTGCAATAAGGAGAAATGGAGGTAGCATTTGAATCAAATAAAAATCTTATTTTTGTTTATAGAATAGACTTCCATTCTAAAAGAGTATAAAAAGTATCTTTTGGATTGGAGGTAGCTTTATTGGTCCATTAAAATGAGGAATTATATTAGAGAGGCTTATAATTATATGAATTATTAACTAAATATAAGTATTTATAAAATAGTTGAATAATTTATATATATATTATATCACTCATTCTTTAAAGTAACAGTCTAAATTAATGATTAAGTTATAAGTTCCAACAATTATTATTATCATTATTCTACATTAAATAAATGGCTTTTTTATAGTTTTATGTTAAATTATTATTCAAAAGGATTCTTATATGAAACTTAAAAACTTATTTAGAAGAGTATATTTTGATAATCATTTAATTTTCATTCTCTATTATATTTTCTTAACTAAGATTAAATAATGAATTTATTTTTTTATTAATGGACACAAGAAAATATAAATAATTATCAAGCAAAACAGAGTATGTTCCTAAAAATTATAATGATCAAATTCTTGAAGAATAAGACACAATCCTCAAATATGATAAAATAAAAAACGATTATAAATATTTAGATGCTACAATCTTTAATCTTTGTGAGAAGATTGCTATAGGAAATAAACTTTAAGAATTATATTTTACAAATTAATAACAATCATTAAATAAATCATCCTTGCCTAAATTTTTTAAGTTTTATGTGCATAATACAGGTTTTTTTATGATCATTAATGATTAGCTCTTGTTCCGATTTTTTGTTTTTCTATTGTATTCATGAAGTGGAGAAAAACACTCACATTACATAAAACAGTTCTATTATTATGTGGATTATCTTTAACTAATGAATTTTTCAAATACTAAAATTGTATAAGGATGGATGAAAATTTAGCTAAAGCTTATTAAGACCATACATAAGCATATGATGATCTCTTTGGAAACCTCATCTAAACATTAACATTTAAAGATGTTATGAGACTCCTCTTTAACATTGATTTTACAAAAGAAAAATTACAAAGTGAATCACACTATGATAATCTCTTAGTTGAAGATTTTGCAATGAATTATTATTGAAATTTAAAAGTTCATTATATTATTAAACTTATGTAATTTATTTCTCATATTATTTGTATTACATAAACATATCTATATATATATATACTATATTAAAATGAAAAAAACTATTTCTAATCAAATTTTTTTACATCATATTTGATATAAGTATGATAGAATTCTATTTAAATGAACAATATATATATATAAGGTCACAATATATTTAACAAGTATAAAATAAATTTATGGAATTTTCTAAATTCAATTAAATTGTCAATCATAAAATAATTATTCTAAATTTTAACATGTTTGAACCGTTTTCATAGTATTTCTATTGAATTTTTACATCAAGTTGTAAGATACATACTATTTCTCATAATCTAATTACTGTCAAAACTTCTTTCTTCTTTATATATATTAGATCTGTTCTATAGTATTCAACTTCTTAAATAAACTTATTATAATGAGTTTTAAATTCATAATTTCAAATCAATTGGAATTGAAAATTTGTAAAATCTGTGATAAATAGATTATTTAATTTTTTAATATTTTTTATTAGTATCATATAATTTTCATTTTTAATATAATATCATAAGACTAAGTTTTTAAATCATTAATATTTTCTTTTAATAAGAATTCTCAGGTTTAAGATTTCATAAGGGATCTTCTTAAGAAATTTCCAAACTACTGATAGGTATAGAAAAACATTCAACAAAAATTATCTTTAATAAATGAAGAAAAAATGATCTAATTTAAATACTTCAAATATTTTTAATAATTTTTGAAAGTAAAATTATGAACCTTTTATTAATGATTATTCTTTACTAATTCAATTATATGTTATATTGATTTCTAAGAATTTTTTAGAAATTCAATAAAGTATATATTATTGATAACAAATATTCATCCAAATATAATCATTATGGGAGTTTAATGTTCTTAAACCTAAAATTCTATGGTAATATTTTAATCTCTACATTCATTTGATGAAAAAGAATAGCAAAATCATCATCAAGCTAGTTAAACTTTAAAATATAGTTTTCCCCAAAAATAAATTTTAGAAATGAATAAAACAAAATTATAATTGCAATAAGAACAGAATCATCCTTAGTAACCTGAAGATCCAGGTAGTCCTATGTAGGCATTATCAGAATAATCTTTTGAAATCTGTGAATTAACTTAATTTAATAATTCATGTCCTACAACAATAAGAATCAGTAGGCAATATCCAAATGAATTTACAATATAACCCAATAAGACATTAAGTATTAAAAAAATAAACTTTTCACCTTCAAAATAAAATAAACCATATAATTAAAAATAAAAAGGGATAATAAAAAAAAGTAGATATAGTGATTCACAATCCCCAAACTCATCTTAGACAATAAAATCAGTTAGATTTTTAATTACAGAATAAGTAAGACCTGAAAGAAAGTTAATAAGAAGCAAAAGCTTATCAAGAAGATAGTCTAGCAAACGATTAAATTAGTCAACTATTTATAGTAATCGTGATTAATCATTATATTACAAAATTGAATTGTGACAACTTTGAATATATATTATTTTATCAAAATTAAAACTTATGCTTGATTAAACTCTTAAGTACTTATATTAATTGTTTAATATTAGTCTTATTTTTAAAGATGAACATAATGGATGCTTAGTTAAATTATATCATTTTAAAACAATTTCACATGCTATAGTACCTAATAAATTTAACTACATAAAATAATATTTTCATAAGCACTCTCCCATTTTAGTATCTGCAAGAGAAGAAGAAAATGAATTTAGTTGCAATAATGATCTAGAAGAAATGACTGGAAGAACTAGATCAAAAACTTAAGGTACTAAAAACACTTTGAAGCCAAATAAACATTAAGATTTGACTGAACAACTTGATTTAGCTATAAAGCCAAAAGGATTATTAAAAAATCGTTGTAATAAGGAAACGTAGAGTTAGAAAAGGGTCTCGTTTTCCATTCCATCTCGTTGTACTTTAGAATATAGATAAATTGTTTAGACAGCTATCAATAAATATTAAGTGAAGTAGAAGCAATGAATCTAAATTTAGAGTCATCCAAATTTATTTTTCTATAACCGATTTTAAAATTCTAAATATATTCTTATTATTCAATACATTATTAATGATGTCAATTCAAAAAGAAAGATAATATTTTACTCTTAAAAATTTAATTATTAATACTTGAATGAATCAAATTCCTCAAAGTTAGTTTTAATTTATCAAAACTTATTTTCTAAAGAGTAGCATAGCTAAATAAATAATACCAGATAGTTTAGATGATATTCATCCAGAGTAATAATTAAATATACATTTAGAATATTAGATGGGCATTCAACAAACAACTCATAACATAGAAGAATCAAATCTGATGTTGTATAAAAAAAGGAAGCCTAAAAACTTAGGCTTATTTAATAGTAGTATTCATAATAAACAGATACTTCGACATAAAATCAAAGTTTTATTTCATAAGGAATTTTAAAAAATAAATCACAAAGAAGTATAAGCAATAAAGGATAAATAAAAAAATCTCATAAAAAAAAAGTGCATTTTATATGAATTAATTAGAGATTTTAATAAATTTTGACTAAAAATTGCATTTATTATCATATCCTTATTCACTACAATATTTCACATATTAAAGGTTTAATTCCTCCCATATCTAAATTATAAAATAATAAGGGGGCTTTATTTAAGATATAAGATTTTGATATGATAAGTTATAAAATTAACTATTATTTGTTAAATTTTTATATTAATAACTTTATTTAAATTTTGTTCTTTAAATCATCTTTTTCGCTCAAAATAATATATTTAAATACGTCATTTCTATTTATATTTCTGCCAAATCCAATAATATTTGGTATTGATTAATTTATAAAGAAAGTCTTTATGGATGAATAATTTAAGAAAAAAGATTTAATTATTAAGGAATAACTAATAATTAAAACATGAAATCAGTATAGAACTTTTAAATTGTTTAAAACATGAAAGCATACTTCTCAGATGATATTTAAAGTCTTTAAAAAAGAATAGATGGTCCTATTACAAGCTACGATAGTATTAGTAGTGATCAAATGTTATTGCCGGATTTGAAATCAATAATCTTAAATTAGAATGATTTAATACGAGAAAATTATTAAGGGTTACTTCCAACTGAAACATAATCAAGAAGCCTTACAACTAATTCTTCAAGTATTTATTTATATAAAAATTAGGTCAACTTTTTAGATTTGAAGAACAGTTTATAAGTGTTAATTCAATATCTTCAGAATCAGTATCAGATGAATTTTGAGATTGTCCATCTTTGTTACTGAATAAAGGATGATCTGTATTTTATATTCAGAATTTATCTGATTAATATTTAATTAAAATCATATACATTATACAAAGTCATACTTTTATTCCATTACTCAATCTGCTAAAGTGATTCCATACTTAGATTTAAAATGATCATAAACTGGAAAATAAAAGATAGAAAATAAACTGCATTAAAATACTCTTGTTCCTAAACCTTTAAGAAATGCTTTTTTTCCTTCTTAATGCCAAGCTTCTAAAACCAAATTTTTCACTGATAATTATTGCTAACTACTATCTACAAGTTAGTATCTAGTAATGATAAAATCAACAGGATTGACTATGGCTGCAGCCAGAGCAGTTGAAATCATTGTTGCAATAATAGATTAATGAATTGCTAAAGGTTGATTATGTAAAGTTTAATCATCCCTTTATCTTAAGATTTCATATCTCAATAATTCATAGAACCACATTTAGAATGTTGTATATACAACTACAGAGGCCATGTATAAATAAGATGCTTAGAATAAACGAATCCAACCTTCTTTTCTAGAAATTTCCATTAATCCTGAAAATATTCCTTTATAATTATATTCAGGAACATTCATCTACATTCTGGTTCTTAAAGTATCAAAAGGTATGTAGGCTTAATAGTTATATATTTATACTTATGACTGACACAGCTTCGGCTAATGGTGAAGTGATAAGAGGAATCAATAAATTAAGCTTACTTTTTTCTCCGTCTTTCTCTAAGCATTTTGTTAATTTGATTGCATAATAATTCATATACTCATAAGCTAAAAAATATGAACCATATGGTATAAATGAACCTATTGATAATTAATACAAATTACCCATTACTGTTGTGGAAAACCCTTTGAATAAATATTTAAATCCTTCATTCTTAACAATAAGATTATATCCTTGCTTCATCCCCAAGAACTCAGACTTATGTGCTTTGATTCTTGTTCCAATGGTATCAAAAGGAAACATAATCATATCGCCTACCATAGATGCAAGACCTGAATAAAATGCTATTAAGAAGGGTTTGAATTGTTATTCCTTTTCTGTCATATATATAAAATTTAATTATTGGTAATTTTTATGATTGTTAATAAATTAAATAATCTAAGAAATCTTCCCCATAGCATACAACATCTAACTATTAAAATTAAGTCTCTCCATATTTGATGTATTATCCTCTCAATATATATAAATAGCATTTGCATAACTCTAATATAAATTAATCAAATCTTTATATGATTCATATTATTAATGTAATTATTCATAAATTAAAAATGTTTATTTAAGGATTGCCTACATCATTCCAAAATAGTTTAATTTTTATTCTGGTTATTTTTAATAAATACTTTAGTTGCTATTTAAATCTAACGAGGTTTTCACATTTAAATTTTCTTGCTTTCTTTAAGATAGTCATTTTAAGAGTATGATTTTCAATTTAATCAAAAGAAGTTTTATAAAACTTTTAATAAAACTTATATGGATTGATGGAAAATTTCACTCATTTTTTAACATAAGAATCTAATTCTATAAAAACTACAATATATTAAAAAGTTTATAGAGTCTATATTAGCAAAGTTTGCATTTAGTCTTACTATGGACTAAATTATTTATTAATTTTACTCTTTTTCTACTCTATAATACTCAATTTAAAACATTTCATTCAATATATTAACAACGATATAGGAATTTGACTTATAATTTATTAAAGTTATTATATTCTAATTTGATTCTATCATAATGTTATTAATGTTTTAATTATAATGGAAATAATAATCTAATAAATTATTAAATAAAATAATATTTGGTTCATATTATTTAAAATTAGATGAATTCAAAAATTGTAATTTAGAAAGCTATTCTCATCTTAAATAGTAAAATAGATAAAAACTTATTTAATAATATAGAAGGTTTTAATTAAATATTTTTGCCATAAATGTTTATTGTGAAAGGAAACTAATCCAAAAAAAAGAGTTTTAAGGTTTATTAAGATTTCCAATAATAAATTTACAAACTCTTTCTCTATTAAATATAAAATTCACGAAATGATTGTTCCTTATAAAAAAATTATTTTTATTATTATTATTAAATGCTCCCAATTAAACAACCTCATGAAAAGAAGGTTAGTAAGATGAACCAATTTAGCAAATAAGCAGGGCCATTTGTAATCTTTTTCACTGTCTTAATGCCAACAAATTGTGTGATTTTAGAATAATATGTAAAATGAAGAATAAAATTAGTACTTTGAATTAAAACTAGACAGTGTTTCTTAGAATATACAAAACTTTATGATTTATTTTATCTACATAATGGCTATGTGGTCATACTATTAAGCAATTACAATAAAAAATATTACTGCATAAAGAGCTCCATTAGCACCAGATCATAGAAGAATTGATCCTATTTATAAAAATAATGCAGCTTGTGCAACATGCAATAAATGGAAACCTATCAGAGCTCATCATTGCTCTATGTGCAATTAATGCATTTTAAAAATGGATCATCACTGCCCTTGGATTGATAACTGTGTGGGGCTTAGAAATCATAGGGCATTTTATTTATTTACAATGTATATGACAGTACTTGTTCCATAATTATGTTTAGATTGGGGCAATTCAATATAGCTGGGCATCTTATGTGTATTTTAAAGATCTCTATAGAAATGATCAAGGCTTTTTTTCTTAATAAAGTACTTTTTTTTACTTGTTTTGGACCTTTTCAAGTTTAGTTATGTATCCAACCTGTGCTATGTTATTCTTTTTGTTTTGCTATCATTCTATTTTAGTTATAACAAACTAAACAACTTTAGAGTAAATGAAAAGTGGATAAAATGGTTTGTTCTGTTGTTCAACTTCAATTAAAAAAAATAGTAATCTATATGATCGTGGATGGATAGCTAATGTAGCATGGTTTTTTAATTATTCTTATTTTTGGTTCCTTCCTTTATAAAATGTCTATGAAACAGATGGTAAATATTAATTCATTTATAAAAGGTACTTCTTACCCTATTGCACCATTATGTACATTTGCTGATATAGAAGTTTATGATCCATCTATTGGTAATGGACTTCCACCAAATACTTAGATAGATTTAGAATAAATTGATTCAAAATTTTTAGATTATATTTAAATTGCAAAGGAAAAATATAAAGGAAAAAAAGTACAATTAAATGGCAAGGAAATTATACTTGCTTGAAAATCTAATGTTGATGATTTTATATAAAATAATAATATATCAAGTATTTTATAATTAGCAAATTAGATGAACAAAATAAATTAATATTTTAGAAGAATTAAGAATATTAAAAATATGCTTAATTATATATTAACTTAAATTTTTAAAGATAAAGCTTATATAATTTTTTGATTATATTCATTTCAGGGATGTTTATGATTATTCAAGGTTTATCACCTATAAATTAATATTTAAATTTTGTGAACTATCTTAATGTTCTTAATTTTTAGTATCATGCTATTGTAATTTTCTAATATTTTTATTAATTAATAACTAGATTCTTTCATCTAATTCTTAATCTAAATTATTCTCTTTTTGTTATAATATTTCTGTTTCAGAACTCACTTATTGTTGTGGATTTCTCATATGTTGTTGGTCAGATGGAAGCTTGTTATAAATAATTCAAATACTATTTAATTAATAGACTAAATATTTTTTTCAGGTATTCCTATTTTTTCAAATAAATTTTCTAATTTATAATCAACTTCTAAATATTTTTTAATTTATTGTAATCCTAAATGTTCTTATATAATTAATTATAATCTAATATGCTTTATAATATAATTACTTGGCTACTTCATTTTATAGATTTAAATAATTCATTTTTGCAATTGCTATTTGATGTAATTTATTCAAAATTTCTCCTGATTTTTAAGGATCATAATCTCTTCCTTTGAAATTAACACCAATGATTTTACCCAACCAATTCTTTTTTATTTAAAAATCAATAAAATCATGATAATACATACTAATTATCTCTCTTTAGGCTTTTTACAGGCAAATATTCTCATTATATTTTGAAACTAAAAAAGATATTGAAAGTATCGAAGATATAATTGATCCAGTGTCTGCTAATATTTCTGATATTTTTGGATATTCAACACTATTAACTATTTTTATTTCATCTAATGTAAAATATAAAATTGAAATTAATTCTTCTCCATAATATTTTTTTGAATATGCCTTATCATGAGTTGAACTTATAAATTATAAATCAGATATAAATGTGTAATCCTTCGAATTTGGAAATAAAAATCCATCATCTAATTCCAATTCACCAACTTACAATGTAAATTAATTATAAAAAAGCTAACCTGGCATCATATCTAAAACATAAGATTTAGGAACTTTTTTGAATCGTTTTGATTTTGGATCAAACTATTCAATAAATAATTAAACTTGAAAAAAGTTTTCTTATTTATAAAATTCTTTTATTGTGTCTTCATCAGCACATTATTGCCCTTCACTTAATTGATTTTATCTGCAAAATCCAAGTAATAATTAATAGTCTACAGAATTTATTTGAGATAATTCTAGAGGAGACTTTGAAATTTTTATATCTTCAACATAAAATTTATTGATTATTTTTCCATTTTCTGATTATTCTTACTCAAAACGAAGAGTTATGTTTGATGTCTATAAATAATGATCGGAATTTTACGTTATCCCAATTATTTGGTATCAACTAGAAGATTGGATTATAGATCAATTATTTCGGATTAAAAGGATCTATTGAATTATTCAGTTTTTTAAAATAACAAATCTCAATAAATACTCCTCTTTATAAAATAGTTTAATCTGCTTCAATCTATTATTAAAGAGAAGTTATTTTAGGAAGTTTATGATTTGACTGCCAATCAATAAATTGGAATATAAAATATCCTAAGCTAATTCCATATAAAGTAAGAGTTATTAATCCACCTAAAGCGCTTTTTTATGTGGGATTAATAGGAGGAATTTATAGTTTTTACTCAACCCCAAATTGATCTATTGATTATAAGAAGTATAACATTAAATTAAAATTTATTATAAATCTTATTCTTTTATTTCATCAAATAATTATGATGTAAATAAGAGATTTTGTTATTTGTAAAATTTTGAGCCATATTTCGAAATAAAGAATTATTAACATTATGCTTTAGTTCTAAAATAAAAAAGTTATGATTAGAAAATATAAGAAAAATCTAAACTAATATATTTCTCATATTCAATCTCATTTGTAATTTAGATATATTCAATTCTTACAGTTTTCTTATAAAAACAGTTTATGCTAATTAGATTAAAATAAATATATACAAAAGATTAGAATAACCAATTTTTATATAAAAATTGCCATGATATTTATTTATTATTAAGAAAGATTAGAAAATTATAATTTTTATGAATTTATTACAGGAATTTATGTAAAATTGAAAAATTATTTGGATAACGATTTTTTTTTTAAAGATTAAGTGAGTTTTTGAAGAATTTTTAAATTATTTTAGATATTTCAAACATATCTTTAATTTTTTATATTAGAGTTCGATAAAATAGTAAAAAAAATAAAATATAAATTGTTATTTTATAATTAATCATTTTAATATCATTTTGTATCGACAGGTTTCTCAAAATTATTGACTTTCAAATAAGTAATCCCATTTTAAAATGACTCCTAAACTTAAAGAATGCTGTTTCTCCTTTTTAATTGACCATTTTCATCCATTTGAATGTCTAAAAGCCCCATTCTTGATTCTAATTCTTATTCTAAAATTGTAAGCTTATTATGTCTAGATTCACTTTCTCCATCTATATTCATTTATGATATTCCATCTAATTATTAATCATTTTAAGCATGCTGAATATATAAATAGCAAATACAATTTAATTTATTGCTTATTATGAAGTTTTTTCAGGTATTCCTACTTGATCAAATAAATTTTCTAATTTATATTTTGATTCTAAATATTTTTTAATTTATTGTAATCCTAAATGTTCTTATATAATTAATTATAATCTAATATGCTTTATAATATAATTACTTGGCTACTTCATTTTATAGATTTAAATAATTCATTTTTGCTATTGCTATTTAATTTAATTTATTCAAAATTTCTTCTGATTTTTAAGGATCATAATCTCTTCCTTTGCAATTAACACTAATGATTTTACCCAACCAATTCTTTTTTATTTAAAAATCAATAAAATCATGATAATACATACTAATTATATCCTTTTCAGTTTATTCCATACTTAAGTTTTCATTATATTTTGAAACTAAAAAAGATATTGAAAGAATCCAAGATATAATTGATCCAGTGTCTGCTAATATTTCTGATATTTTTGGATATTCTACACTATTTACTATTTTTATTTAATCTAAATTAAAGAATAAAATTGAAATTAATTCTTCTCCATATATATTTTTAGAATACTCTTGATCATATTGTGCACTTACAATTTATAAATCAGATAAGTATGTATAATCATTTGAATTTGGAAATAAAAATCCATCATCCATGTTAAGCTCTCCTACTGTTAGGATAAATTAATTGAAATAAAGCTATGCTTTTATCATATCAAAAATAAAAAATTTTGGTATATTTTTAAGTGATTTTGTTTTTGGATCAAATTGCTTAATGTAAATAAAAACTTAAAAGAAATTAGTTTGGCTAAAAAATTGATCAATAGTATCTTGATTAGCACACTATTGTCCTTCTTAAAGTAATTTTGTATTACAGTAACCCATAGATAATTAATAATTACTTTATTCACGCATTGGTTAATTTACAGGGGACGTGATTGGTTCAATATCTTGAATGATAAATTTGTTTATTATTTTACCATCTTCTTATTATTAAGATTCAAACTTAAGAGGTAAAGTTTAGATCTATAATAAAAATGATATATACATTTTTTCTATCAAAAGGAATGAGTTTTAATTTCGGTGAAAATATAAGATTTTAAGGATTGAATGGATCTATTGGATTATTAAGTGATTGCAAATAGCTAATTTCTGCAAATACTCCTTCAAGCTTTAGTTTTTAAGCAAAGTTTATTTGTTCTTGAATAAATGTGACTTTAGGAAGCTTATTGTTTGATTACCAATCAAAAAACTAAAAAAGAAAATACCCTAAACTGACACCATATAAAATTAAAGTCACTAATCCACCAAGTGCACTTTTTTATGTGGGTTTTATTGGAGGAATTTACAATTTTTGCTAAACTCCAAACTAATCAATCGATTATAAAAAGTATGACATTATTATTTTATTAAATCAAAAATTAAAAAGAAGTTATGAATGTCTAAATTATCTAGACATTCTAATTCATCATTTTTATATATTTAATTTTTGCTTTTTGGATCCATTTTTATAACATAAGGTTAATAAAATTGCTATATATATTAATATTATTATTCATTTTCATACTGTTAAGAATTTCTAAATTCTTATTAATGATCTTGTTCTATTTGAAATTAATTAAGAACATTATAGTTCTATAAAAATTAAATAGATACTAATTCAATTGTCATATTGAATCTAAAATTCAAAGAAGTCAATTACTTTTAAGACTTTAGAATATAACTTTTGATAATAAATTTTATATTTGATTTCTTGTATATATCGATCATAATCATGCTAGTGGTTTAGCTGATTAAACCAATAATTGTTTTAGTTAGTTCACATAGGTACTATTTAACAAAGCAACATCTACTATGACTGCACTGACTAAATATGGATCAATGTTAGCAGCTGGTCTTCTGTCTTCTAAATAACTATCAAAATAACGATATTTAATACCCAGCTCCTAATTCTTTTGTTATAACTGGAACTCTGATAGATCCACCTCTAGAACCATCACCCCAAGAGAATTAATCATAAGAACTAGTTTCATGATGACCTGTTAATCTTTTTTCATTATTAGCTCCATATAATTTTAAAACTTCTTTATGAGTATTACTTAATAAAGGGATCAATTCATTGACAATATACTTATATCCACCTTCCCCTCTTGTTTTGACATCAGAATAGTTTGTATGGGCTCCAGAACCATTCCAATCTCCCTAGATGGGTTTAGGATCATAGTTGATATCAATACCAAATTCTTCACCTAATCTCTCTAGAATATATCTAGCTAACCAGAGGTGATCTCCGATTTCAATTCCTTCAGCAATACCAATTTAGAATTCCCATTAAGATGGAGCAACTTCTGCATTCACACCTGCAATTTTGATTCCGGCATTCAAACAAGCTCTAAGATGTGCCTCGGCTAAAGCACGTCCAAAGTTGTTTCTTTCACCAATAGAACAATAATATCGTCCTTATGGATATGGAAATCCTCCTGTAGGCCATCCAAGAGGCCAGATGTGAGTTGTTCCTGTACGTTTTAATAAGAAATATTCTTATTCGATACCAAACCAGGGTTTGAAATCTTTAGCTTTTTCCATGATTTCATTAGCAATCCATCTATTTATAAAATTAAAAATTACCTAAAGTTATATCTGGCTGGAGTCTTTTTATCTGGCAAATATGTTTCACACAACACCAAAATGTGAGGATCACCTCTGAAAGGATCTTTCACATATACAACAGGTTTCAAATAGATTTCGGACCATTTTGTGTTGGCTTATTCTGTTGATGAACCATCATATGTCCACCATTCAAGGTCAGAAATTTAAGTTATAGGTGTTTGATAAACCTTAATTATTATTATAAAAAGTACTTTTGTTTTAGATCTCATTCTTTCTCCAGTTCCATCAATCCAAATATATTCAGCCAAGACTTGAGTAACATTCTGATTTAGTTTATAATAATTAAAATCACGAAGATGTTCAACAGTCTCGGTCATACAGGATCTAAAATTTATTCAATTAATCAATAAAAAAAACGTGTATGGATTTTGGAATTTAACTGGTTTTATAATAGGTCATATATTAATAATCACATAAAATTGATATCTAATATTGCTTATTATATGTAATTTAAAAAACAAGATTACGTTTTTTATTTTAATAATTAATTTTTTATAAGAACAAAAATCAGTAATAAAGAGCTTTTAAAAATAAAGGATCCCATAAAATATTCTTCTTAATATAACTTTATAGAATGTTCTAATAATAAAAATGCACAAGATTTAAAGTTTCATATTAAAAATCACTATTTTGAATAAAAGAATTTAATCCAATAGAAATTCATATTTATTTTTGTTATGGATTTATGATTTTTGAGAAATATTGAGAAAATTTATATGTAAACTAGTAAAAATAAATATATTTTTGTAATTATAATAATTTTTTTCATTTTCTTATTTTGTATTATTTATTTGCCATTCAATTTGTTTATATTTTATTTATTATATTCATAATAATATATTGCTTAATTTATAGTTAATTAATATATTTTTATTAATAGAAAATTGCAACTTCATTTAAGAAGCCAAAACCGATGTAAAATCACTACAAGGATAACATCCAATTTAAAATTTTCAAATCATTAACAAAATTAATAGCTTTCATATTGAATTTAATACTTAATAAATATCCTAAAAAAATTTATTTCTAATATAAATTCTTACTAAAATATTTATATGTTACTTATTATTTGAACTTATAAAACAATGATAAAATAGAATTATTTTATATTAATATTTTTTAGTTAATTATTTTTAATATTATTATTATAACGGATTGACAATAATTATATGAAAAGTATTCTTAAGTAAATCATTAAATCTATTAATAAGTTAATTAAAATAAAATTTAATGCTGCAAGTCTCCAACTGTATAAGTAAAAATTAAAAAAATGATTTCACAGTAAAAGATTGTGATGTACCATAAATTAATATAATTCCAACATCAAAAAGAATTCAGACTAAACCAAAAGAAAATACTGTAAATGAATAAAATGTAACCACAAGATATGTAACTGAATAAAGAATAAGCTCTGGTATACTTATTGTTTGATTAGTAACCGAAAATAGTATTTATGAATAATAAGAATAAAAAAGGATTCCTTCTTACTGTGTTAAATGGTTGAATTATAAATATGAAAAGAAAGTAAAAAACTTCATTTACAATAGGAATTTGTATAATTAGAGCAGCATTATTTAAAAATTCTATAAATAAAGCCTGAAAAAGATATTGTTCATTAAATTGAAAGGGATCTAACTAGAACAATCAAGGCAGAAAACAACTATACAGAAATAAGAAATATCCTTACTGCATATTCTGTTTACGATCCTATTATTGGATATGTATAAGGAATGAATTAAATTGTCTCAATTCTATTTAATCATGCAAAATAAGAGTGGATAACCTTTTGGCTTTTTGTAATTTTAATAGAATAAATGGAGATTAGAGATATTTTCTAATTATCACTTAATGCAATTTACAAATACTCAAAAATCTTAGATTTTCTTTTGAGTAAGTTTTCGCCCATACCTTATAATAATTTATCTCTAAAATAGGTGAATACTGAATTATACATTTAATAATGGCTACTAAGTTTGCTATTGTAATTTATTCCATTTGAATATACTTAAGTTTATCTGGATGGATTATTCAAATAAGGAATATCCCATTTTTATATGATAGCATTAAAAATCATCAATGCATTTGATAAAGCAATAAATAAAGAAGATTAAACAGAAATCTTAATATTGTTAACTTCAAAATAATATGTAAAACAATTAAAAAATATAATTAGACTTAATTGAAATGGTCGTCCATTTTTATATATTAATGGGACCTAAATCCAAGTTAATTGAGAGTGCTATTAGATTGTTTTGATAGTGACACCAATTCATTTCAAAAACCAAAATTTTAAACACATTGTTCATAGTTTATAATAAACTTCTTCCAATTTATTAAAAGTACTTGAATTCTATCTTTTATATGACATTTCTATTTTATATTTCTTTTTATTCAATATTATAGAGGTATAGAGTTGTTTCAAGAGAATTAATAATTTAATACTCCTCCAAAGTTTTATAGAAGTACTATTATAGAGAAGATAAGACAGAAATTTGTAGAGCATTTTATAATTCCATCATAAATTAAGAAAGACTAGAGTTGAAAGTTTTATTTAGATGAAATAATTGGGAAAAGACATTATAAACCTGAATATTAAAGTTACTTTCTTAATAATATAGGTAAATTTATTCATATGAATTAGTATGAAGAAATATAAACTGCAGTAATTCATATTGCAGATTAAGATATGTTATGGTAGATTAAATTGATTGAGAAATTTCAGAAGATTGAAACTCAAATAATTGAAACCATTATTCTTTAAATTACCTTAATTAGATGTGTTTTTTAAATTGATTAGGAAAATATATTTAACATCATTAAATTAATTAAGAAATTCTTATATTAGCTTTTTGTAATAAAAAAACAATCTATTTATAAAAGTTATATTACTATTAATCTAAGACCTAATAAACACTTACTAAATCTTAAGTTTGTTGATTCATAGATTGATTTTTTGGATTTTCTATTATTAAATTTAAGATTTCAAGAGCAAACAAGCAATATTATTTTTATTTCTGTTGCTCAGGTGTATACTCTTTTTATTTTAGAGCTACTTCAATTAAATATTTAATCTTAGTCAATTCATTTATTAATCTTCTTTATTTTTAGTCTCTAGTTTCAATATATTAATTCATCGGATCTGTACAACAAATAAATAAGTCTAAATATTTATCATCCTATGGTTATTTACTTTGTTTATTATTTATGCAGAAATTTAGATGATTATTTGCTTACTTTATTGAAATGAATTAATCACACATAGTACAATATATATACTACATTAAATCTAAGGCTTCTTAATCTTATCTTAAAATTCTTTAATCTCCATGATTAGGTTTATTGTTTATTTAAAGGTATTAATTTTTTATTGGATATTGTTAACAGAGATATTAATAAAATTAATCATAGCCTAAATTACCATGCAAATCCATCATATAACTTTATTATGATTAATTTAGTTAATTTTAATTTTAAACTTCAACAGGAAGAATTTAATCATTATTATTTATATCATGATATTCAAATTATGATATATTAAGTATTTGTTATTATTATTATTATTATGATTATTATTATTATTATTATTATTATTATTATTATTATTATTATTATTATTATTATTATTATTATTATTATTATTATTATTATTATTATTATTATTATTATTATTATTATTATTATTATTATTATTATTATTATTATTATTATTATTATTATTATTATTATTATTATTATTATTATTATTATTATTATTATTATTATTATTATTATTATTATTATTATTATTATTATTATTATTATTATTATTATTATTATTATTATTATTATTATTATTATTATTATTATTATTATTATTATTATTATTATTATTATTATTATTATTATTATTATTATTATTATTATTATTATTATTATTATTATTATTATTATTATTATTATTATTATTATTATTATTATTATTATTATTATTATTATTATTATTATTATTATTATTATTATTATTATTATTATTATTATTATTATTATTATTATTATTATTATTATTATTATTATTATTATTATTATTATTATTATTATTATTATTATTATTATTATTATTATTATTATTATTATTATTATTATTATTATTATTATTATTATTATTATTATTATTATTATTATTATTATTATTATTATTATTATTATTATTATTATTATTATTATTATTATTATTATTATTATTATTATTATTATTATTATTATTATTATTATTATTATTATTATTATTATTATTATTATTATTATTATTATTATTATTATATTATTATTGATTTATCCCTACTCAAATTGATATTCGATAAATCAAATATTTTCTCTTTTTAATGAATCTAACTAGGTTATTATAAGTGAAAATTCTAAGGAAGACTTTACTAAGAATTTTATCTTCTACTTGGTGTTTATTATTATTGAAATAATTAATATTCTAATTCATTATTAAGAATTGGTTATTTTTCTATTGAAACTTCTTTAATATTTTAACCTTAATTTGGTTCGGTTATCCTTGATTTATTAGTGACTTAATATTCAAAAATAGGTTTATGTTTATGCATTGGAATAACTCCCAATTGATTTAAAGAAGATTTTTAAGGTTAAATTTATTAATGCATTGACAATTCATTATCTGGTTAAGCACTAACATTCATTGGATAATATGAATTTCTTTAATCAGCTATATATTCTTCATTAGTAATGAGAATTGGACTTTTATTTAAATATTCTCCCTATGTATATATTTAGTATTTTGCTTATTATTATATCTTATCATATTAAGGTTTATATAAATTATTTTTTTGTTGTTAATCAGAGTTAGTATTTTATGAAAATTCTATGATACCATAATTTTATCTTAATTAATTGAAATATTGCCCCTATGGTGTATTTTATGAATAATGAGTTGATAACAAAGGTGTATGTTATTTCTGTTGTTAAATGCTATTGTAATTAGAACTGATTCTTTGATGACTTGTAGGTGACAAATAATTCATTTGAATTCTTGAATTGGTTGGCATTAGATCATAATTATCATATTTCTATTGTTTGTAGCTATCTAAAGTTTATAGATCTTCTATAATTTACTATTCCTATTAATCTATATAATCATAATAATTTTCAGATTAATTTTATTTATTTCCATTAAATTATTATTATTTATTAGCTTATTGTCTTTATGCAATAGCTGACAACATTTAAATATTTTGTTCTCTTTGAGATTTTAATTCTTGTAGTAACTATTAGTAATCTTAGCGTGATGAATATTGAAGTTAATTTATATTGTAGGTTAATTCATTATAAATGTTGTCAATTTTGGTAACAATTTATTAATATTTAACATGATTATCTGTTCTTTGAGTATACATTTCTTATTCTAATTCAGAATATTACATCATTAATTAATTGTAATTATTGCTGATTTATTGTTATGGTGAAATTTAAACTTATTATCTTGGTGTTGAAAATGTTTGATTATAAATGGGTTACATATATTGAATATTATGAATTTAAGGAGGAAGTGATAATAAAATAAATTTATTTTAAGCAATAAAAATATTGAAAAATATATGTATATTTACATGTAATAATACTTCACATAAACTCAACTAAAGATTTAGATAAATAAATTAATTAAGTTTCGATTCTAGCTGCTACAGTTAGAAGTGTGATATGACACAATTCATCAGCTGATAGTTAGAGTTAAATTTACTCAATATGAGATTTTGATATCACATTTGGTGTCCAAATAAGTAGTTTGATGAATTATTTCAATTATTGTGGAAGTAGCTTCTCCATCTTTCATAATAAAAATATTTTATTTATGAATACCTATGCCCAATAATCAATATCTTCATGTTAATATCTAAATTGTCCTTCTCCATAATAACGTATTGCTTTTCTAAAAGCTGTTGTAGCCACTTCCTCATTTCCAAATGAATTTCTTGTCATATGTTTCACTTCTTATAATAAATTATTGATAGCATCAGCTCCTTCTAAAAAGGCTTCTTTTAAAACAGGATAACTATTCAATTAAAATGAATATTCCTAATAATTTCAATAAGATTTTACTGAAGATCTTAAAACACTTTTGCTATCACAATATTATAATTCTGAGTGTGAAAAATGTTTAGAGAACTTTTCATCAAAATGTAATTTTAATTATTAATCTGTATCTTCAACATAAAAACTATATGATTGAGAAGTCTTTTATCTAATTTAAATTTGCATTTAGGCATCCTCTGGTGGAAGATCCTCTTCAAGAAGTGCAGATTACTTAAGTTCTTAGAGTATAGACTCATTTTGAATAAAATCAATCAAAGATTCATGTTAGGCATATTGAATACTATTATTTACAGAATTATTATCAATAATGGCATCAATTTCTTTTACAATACCATTACCTAATGAAAAACTACCCAAATTATTGTAGAATATGAATATCATTAATGCTTATACTAATTCTTTTCTTCTCCACTTTCCTTTGAGTAATTTGTGTAATTCTTATGAAAGTTGAGGATCCCATGGTTTAGTTATCAACAATTTACATAAAGGATCTAATTATTTAATATGTTCATCTACACTATCATAGCCTATATCTATCCAATTCCTATCTCCTTCATTTAGATAGAATATCTGTGAGAGTAATAGATATAATTAATCACATCCAGATGCAGCAGCTCCCTTAAATATAAATAAATATGAATACCATTATAGCCAAATAATATTTTTCATCTTGTAATAGTTTAGTCTTCGTATTAAACAAATTATCTAGTAGAAAAGTATAAGATTTTAATAATTTAGGAAACCACAAAAAAGGAAATTCATGCATTCCAACTCTTCCATAATTAAAATTAAATATCTTTAGTAAATGATCTTATAACTCTTATGCTTTTAAAGCACCAATAACTGGCCAAGGCAATTAAGGAATCTTACCATCAATGAAATCATTGGCTATTTTCATAGAAGGGAATTGATTGAAAAACTTAGATACTTTGTGATGTTTGGGCTATTTTTGTGTATAAATAATACAGAAATTTTATATTCGGCTGCCAAATTCTCATATAAACTTACAACTGAAGAAATAGGTGTTTGATTGATCACAACAGCTAATTTGGCTTCTATTATATTTCTAATTGATTAATCTTAACACTCCTGTAATTTTTCAAATTATTAGATGCATTGATCTAGCATCTACTCATCTTCATCTTTATTCGTTAAATATTCAGGAAATGCAAGATTTACATCTTCATTTTCTTAATCCATTTATATATATATATATATAAATATATTCTTTTTTATTTTGTACTATAAACTCATTATTATTCATTTTCAATTAAAGCAGCAGCACCCATACCAGTAGCAATACACATAGAAATAACACCATATTTAGCCTTCTTTCTTTTCATTTCTGGTAATAAAGTAGCTACTTATCTGGCACCAGTACATCCTAAAGCTTAAAATTTTATATACCTAATGGATGTCCTAAAGCAATTGCACCACCCTTTGGATTAACTCTGCTTGGCTCAATGCCTATTTTTTCAACGGAATAAACAGATTAGCTGGCAAAGGCTTCATTAATTTCATAGATGCAAATATCGTTTGGTTTCAAAGCATTTCTTTATAATAATTATGGGATAGCAGCAGCTGGTCCAATACCCATGATATTGGGTGGTACACCAGCAACAGTGTAGTCAACAAATCTAGCTAAGATTGGTAATCCCAATTTTTTGGCTACAGATCTTCTAGCTAAAAGAACAGCAGCAGCACCATCAGTAACTTAAGAGGAGTTACCAGCTGTAGTTGTTCCATCTTTTCCAAAAGCAGGCTTTAATTTACCTAAACCTTCAAGAGTGGTTTCCTTTCTGATTCCATCATCTTCTGTAACAATAACTTCTTTAGTTTTATCTCCATCTTTAATAAAGGTCTTAACAGGGATTATTTCATCCTTGAATAATCCTTCTTATTAGGCTTTATAAGCCTTTTATTAGGATTCATAAGCAAATTTATCTTATTATAATCTTGTGACTCCAAATTGAGTTGCAACATTCTCAGATGTTTATCCCATACCCAATAAACAATCTCTTGCACATGGATGATCAAAGATAGCATCACTGAGTAATTCAGCATTCATTTGACTTTGCATATCATACATAGTCATTTATTCAACTCCAGCTCCAATACCAATATCCAACATTCCAGATCTAATTTTGGCAGCAATTACAGCACATGCTTCAATTCCTGATGAACAGAATCTATTTATAGCTGTCAAACAAGTTGTATCTGGGAATCCAGACAAGAAGGCAGCCATTTTAGAAACAATAGCACCACTTCCAGGTTGATTGACATTACCAACAACGATGTCTTAGATCAATTTTGGATCAACTTTAGTTCTTTGTAAAAGACCTGTGAAGGCTGTGCTAAGAAGGATTTCAGGTGGAGTATCTCTCAATAATCCTCTTTTGGCTTTTGTTAAAGGAGTTCTAACAGCACCACAAATGACTACATCGTTGTCACTTCTTGGTGGGACAGGTGTACAATTATTGACTTAAGCACTGAGATGTTGGACTCTTTACATGAATAAGATATTTTATTTAATTAAATTGGAAATAATTGTTTTTGTATTTGGATAAATCTCTATTCCTAAAAATTAGAATTCATGGAATGTTAATTGGAACATACACAAATGGGAAGAAATCTTCAGTGTCTTCTAATTCTTCCTTAGTTCCATATAATCCTACTTGAGAAGGATCAGCATACAATTTCAAAAGGGATTATTGAACCTTCTTTTCTTTTCCTTGATCTGGCTAATTAAAATAATAGGATCTAATATTACTTTAAGAATGCATTAAATATTTGGTTCAGCTGCTCCGAATCTCATAGCAATATCCACAACCAATCTGAGGACTTTCAAATGAATATATGTAATATATAAGTCACTAAATGCTTTTTCACATGCTTATTTCAATGTAGTCTATATAATTATATATAAATATAGATACATTCATATGATCGGATTTAGATTTGAGATCTAATCTCAATTTTTCCCTTTCTTTAGATTCTTAAGATTTGTATTCAAATTCTTTAACAGTGATTCTCAATTTATCTCTTGCTTTTTAAATGAATTCTTCAACTGAAGTTTACTTCTACTTCTTTCCCTTATCATCTTCTTCTTTATCTACAACTTCAAGGTCATGATCCTTATCGAAAGATTGCTTTACGATCACAACTCTCCATATGGTTAAGTTATCCTTATCCTCAATTTAGAATTATCTATATATTAATTGTCTAATAAATACCTTGCTGATTAAGGCACAACATTTTCACATAAAAATTCATAACAAGCTAACCATTCTTAAACCTATGTCTTTGGTACAATAGCCACTAAAGTTGTTAGATAATCGCTGTATATGAAATCTCTTGGTTTCACTATTGGTTCCTTTAAGACATCAACTAAGTCTTTAACCAATAAATTTCCTTCCTTCCTTGCCACTTATTAACTTTGATTCTTCAATTCTTAATAACTTGTTGATTTTTATCTCAAATCTGTTTCCACATGTGTAGCTCTCTAATCAGCATAAATAAATTGTTATACCGATGAAATTGCCTTGACTAATTCGCTTAATGCTGATGCTCTTGGGAAGGTTTGGTCATTCCATTTGAATGAGAATAGGAAATTCTCAATACTCTCTAAGAATAATATTTCTTATCATACATGGACCTTCTTTCAATTCAATTACGAAATCATAACTAACCTTCTCTGTCACATCCAAATACTATCTTTCAATCTTCTTTAACAAACTCTCCACTACTGAGTCTTACTTCAATAAACTATCATTGATGAACATTAAGTGATCCAAATTTCCCAACTTGAATTTTCCTATCTCTGTTTACAAAAGTCTTCCTTTAGCTTATCTCGATATTCCAGATGTCAGAACGTGCTTTTCCATCTCCAACCAAGCCTACTATTCGTTAGACTTATGAGGTGCACCAATCAAATAGTATACCATTTGTTATATTAAGATATTTTAATTTAATCTGCAAATAATTATTATTTATCAACACATTATTACTTCATTTGATCATCAAAGTTCATTCTTCTATTAAACATACATGAATTGTAAATAATCTCTAATTAGTAAATAACTGCACATTATATGCTTTAAAAATCAATTTATACAGTCTGCTATAAACCAAATAAAAATTCAGAATTTATTTTAATTTATAATAGTAACGTAACATAATATAATTACTACATTAAATTTAACTTACATATATTCCTATTCATTTCAAATGAATTACAAAATTTTTGTATAAAAACATCAATTCTATACAAGACTAATCCTCCTTTGATACCTAAATAGAAAATGATGTTTTAATAAAATTTAATTGTATGCTCATTACTTATATTTTTTCAATAAGTCGAAAATATCTTATCGAAAGCTAAAGTTAATTTATATACTATTTCTAATCTTATAATCTTTTATTTATGTTATCATTTTATTTTAAAAAAATAGGAAATAAATTAATATGATTATACTCGATAAAAATACAAATAATCATTTGTGTTCAACATGGTTGGATTACATTCTATTTACATGATAATAAATAATAAGGTTGAGGGTGTGTAAAAACTGGGTAGAATATTTAAAATTATGGAAAGCTATTCACTGGACTCATTGAAGGATAACTGTTCATATTAAATGGAAACATAAATTATTAAGTATTACTCCAATTATTTTAAATTGAATAATCTTGAGTCTTATTTTCTTCTATTTTATTTAATTTTTAATCCATTTATATTGAATTTTCTTATTCTGGAACAATATAATATGGGTTCTTTACTCCAAAATATTTTGTTCTAAGGTATGAATAAAATCTATTCTTTATACTATTTTCTGATCTGCCATTTAAATGTTTCTAGATGGCACTCCATTTACCACCAATTTTATTATATATTTCGATTAATTTTTCATCCTCCTCTTAAGTCCAAGGCTCATTATTTAAATCTGGATGTAATTAATTTAAATAGTGCTCTCTGATTTATTTACCAGTTCTATTTGGCATTAATTTAGCAATTCTACTCCAATGGTAGCCATATTCTTTGACTAAACTCTTTAACTTATCATCTTCTTCTTAAGACCATTACCTTCTAAGTTTATACCCTTTAATTCGTTTCCATCTCTGAGCACATTGAGATGGATTTCTTCTTCCAATACGACGAGCGACTTCAATCCAATCCAATCCCATACTTTATCGTAATTCTTACAATTAATGATCTTCTTCAATAGTCCAAGCCTTTCGTTAAGGGGTAATCGTGACAGATTGTAACATTAACCTAATAATTTTATTTTTGTTTTACTTAATCAATCAGATATTCCTTTTAATACCAAAAATTCAGTTATTTCAAAACTCTTTTTTTTAATTCTTCATTTAAATTTATCTTCCTTTTCCACCATTCAGTAATATATCTTTCCTTCATAAACGAAATTTTATAAATATCTTATAATTATGTATATATAAAGAAATCGGAATTAAAAGAAAAGAATTTTTAAATTGTGAAATTTCTTATTTAATATTAAATTAAAAAGCTATTTATTGCTGCGAATCGTTAAATAGGGAAATCCTACTACTGGATATCTCATTTAATTTATTATGTAATTCTAAAGTACCTAATTTTTTCTAGTCATAAAATATTATTTTTATTTAATAGTTACTCTATTAATTCATATATTACAAACTTTTACTATAGCTTTACTAATTCAAAATGAATATCTCTAATTTACTTTAAGTTTCTGGTTTATTGTTTAATTTATAATTTCAAATAATGTTAAGAACGAGAGCATTTGTTATTATAAATATAAAATGTTCATTTAATATTAATACAATTAATTAAATTTAATAAAATGACTTTGAGATTTTGAAAAAGGATTATTAATAATAAATATATATTATACAATTTTTATTTGGAATAGGGTATAGATATATTCAATTTCAAAATAACAGAAATATAATTAAAAAATAGTAGTAATTCTGAATCAATTCTTATTAATTATTTAAAATAATAAGAAATAAAGATTGAATTATATAATAATAATAATAATGCAAATATAATATATGTTCATCATTATATAGGTCTTTTTGATTTATAATATTCAATTTTGTTATCTTTTTTTTCATAATCTTCTTTAATAAGTTATTCTCCTAATCTGGCTAAATCCAAATAATGAATTTAAGTTTAACATATATTCTAAATATTAATAATAGTAATACTTCAGATAAATAATTTTTAGAAGCTTCACCTTATTCTAGAAGATCATCTATCATTTCATAATCTTCAATTTTTTCAAGTTCACATTTCATCATGTATTTATCAAAGTTTGTATTAAAATCTAAACATTTATCATCAATATCTCTTAATGACTTCAAATGTAAATATAATTTGTATGTTGAATCAAATTATTAAATAATTTATAAATTTTGAACTAGAATTTTATTGCTTGCTAATTCATTCTGATGTATTTAATTAAAAATCATTTATTAGTACTTCAATTCATCATATTTTGGTTGAAGTATACCTCTTAATTTATCCAAAAATATTGGATGATATATTAAATCCTTTTCCCATCTTCTAATAACATTATATGCTTTTTCTAAATCTGCTATATCATCCACTTAACTAAAACTTAAATTCATTCATTACTATGCATAATCCAAGATTAATTTCTTCAATTTTTGACCAAAACACTTCACATATGGAAAATCCATTCTTTTAGCATTTTTTTCATCTAGAATAATCTAATGAATTAGAAACAAATAGAGTTTTTTTCTCTCTTTTCTGGCACTTATAAACTCATTTTCAATAATAAATGCTACCATACCACTATGTTCTGGAAATGTTGAACAATAATTTGAAGTTTCTAAAAATATAAGAAAATATTTTATCTTACATTTTATGGAATCCTATAATTCTGTAATTTCTTTAACTTATCTCTCTAATTGTTTGATATCCATTATTGAAAATATAATAATATTTTTGGAATAAATTATCACTTTAATTATTCTTCAAGTTTTAAATTTATCAACTAAATATTGTGTCTGCTCAAAATATTATATACATATATATCTACATGAATTTTAATAAAGTAATAATAAATATATATATAAATCACATTTTTATTGATAAAATAATATGTAATGAAATAATGATATAAATTGTATTTAAATAATAAAATATGAAAAAGATATCATATAGTTTCACCTAATTAATGAAATTACATTTGCATGACTATCATGTAAATCTCAAAGCCAAAATGGTTCCATTTGCTGGATATGAAATGCCTGTTCAATATCCATAAGGTGTTTTGAAAGAACATTTATATTGTAGAGAATCATGTGGATTATTTGATGTATCACATATGGGATAAGTGAAAGTATTTGGAGAAGATAGAATGAAATTTGTAGAAACCTTAACAACAGGAGAGTTCTAAAGTATGTGTTATTGTTATGAATCAATTAATTAGCAAAGAAATCAGGACAAAGTGTATTATGTTTGATTTTGAATGAGAAGGCAGGCATCATTGATGATACAATAGTTGCTAAAAGAGATGATCATATGTATGTGTTGTAATCAATAAAAAAAGTCATATTGTTGTTAATGCTGGTAACAAGTTTATAGATATGAAACAAATGGACAAAATCATTAAGGATTATAACTATAAAGTTTAATATGAGTATCTCAAAGACAAACCATTAATAGCTGTATAAGGTACTTAATTAAATCTATTTTTAGGACCAAATGCTCACAAAGTTTTGAATGAAGTTTTTGGAACAGAATATAATTTAGATAAAATACCATTTATGTTTATGGTGAATATCTAAAAGAATGGAATAGATTATCAAATTAATAGATGTGGATATACAGGTGAAGATGGTTATGAAATATCTGTTGAAAATTCTAAAGCATAAGAATTATGTGATAAATTATTGGCAACTAAAATGGCTTAATTTTGTGGTTTAGGAGCAAGAGATTCATTACGTTTAGAAGCTGGATTATGTTTACATGGTCATGAAATGGATGACACTATTTCTCCATATGAAGCAAAATTAATGTGGACTGTACGTAAACCAAATGTATAATATTCATTTATAAATATAGAAAGAAACTGGAAAATACAATGAATCTGCTTCTTTTATTGGTAGAGATGCTTTACCATAAAGATAAAAGGATGCTAAATTCAAAAGAATGGGTTTTATTACTTAATCAGGAATTGCAAGACCTCCTTGTGATATTGAATTTTAAGGATAAAAGATTGGATCTGTTACAAGTGGCACCTATTCACCTAATTTAAAAAAAGGTTTAGGCTTTGCTTTCATTAACAATGAATATGCTAAAGATGGAACTTAATTATAAGCTGATATAAGAGGATCTAAAGTTAATATCACTTTGAGTCCAACTCCATTTGTACCATAGAGATATTATAAGCCAGAGAAAAAGTGATTGACTGTTTATTTAGAAATAATAATCAAAAAATTTTACTATCAAATTTTCTATCAAAAATTTTCTTTACAGAATTACTTTCATAAAATCTATTTGCAAAAGATGATTCTTAATCTGAATTTATATGATAAGATCTTTAAATAATATTTTTTATTGTACTTATTAAATTCTGATGTATACTATCCTTCAAAACTGGCATTGAATAATTTAGGACTTATTGGACGCATTAATTTTGAAGGAATTCTATTAAATTGTTATTATTAGTAATACGAAGATGTACTTTCTTTGACTAATTACTCAGAGTTTTCAGCAAAGGGTCCTCTGATTAAAATTTAATTACATACAATTTTGCTATCTTTTATAAAGGAGATCTTTCTGTTTTGATATTTTTGAATTCTCTAGCATAACTACTTTCCGAAATAAATGGTAAGTTGGATGGCTCAACTGAAGATGTCTCTCTTGTCATTTTACCAGGATATTGAGGTTTCCAATTTTAAAATTAAGATCTATAAGTTGATAAATAAGATGATTGGCTTAAATTAGGGTTGAAATCCTTCTTTGGAGATTTTCTCTTTTTTTCTAACTTAAATGGCAAATATTGTGACTTCTATAAATATTGTATATACATTATAGACACTTCCATTGTATAGTTATTAAAGGTTTTTACCCCACATTTAATCATGAGCCTTTGATTAATCCAATAAAACATCTTGATTTCTTAGATTAACAATTTGATAATCTTATTGGTATTAACTTTGAATAGCCTTTTATTGAAATTTATTTTTAAGTGTTTACAGTTTAGATTGCTATACATAAAGAGCTTATAATAAAATATATAAATTTACTCATTAACCCTAAAAAGAAAGCTGGATTTGATTCAATAACTTCTTCTATAGTCTAAGATTTTTGAACCAAATCATTCCAAATAGGATGATCTGCAGGAAATATTTCAATAACTGTTTGATATAAACTTTTATCTGATTCTAAACCTTCTAATTTTGGGAGTAAATTTATTTTATTTTTTTAGAGAGAATTGTGTAATCTATGTTCTTGTGATTTTTACTCTTCATTTTACTATTCATTATAATAACATTTTCTTATTTCCAACCTATCAGTAAGTGGAATGAGATTATGTTTTTATTTAAGTAGTGATCGCTTCTTAGGTGATTATTAATTAATCTATTCTTGAGACATTTTCTCTTAACTGACAGATTTATTACTTAATAGAAACGAATCACCACTTTGTAAAGCAGACTTCATTTCATTCCTGATAAACATTAATATATTTAGATAATTTAATAATTATCATAACATTATCTTCTTTGATTTTAACCCTCTATCTATATAAATTTTATGTGAATTTTTTAGAGATGAGACAAGATTCTAAAAGTTAATTTTAAGAACTAGATATCTCTTCAGTTTTTACTCTCCTTTTATAACATATTAAAATGAGAATCAATTCATTACAAATTCCATTTTTATTAGAGTAATTAGATTTATATAACTTAAGTAACATGATAAATGAATGAAGGTATAATTATTATTTAATTGTATTAATTTACAATAAAATCTTGAAATTTATATTGAATTACAGTCAATCATATAGAAGAATGTATTCTTTTAATATCTTTTGGATTTATTTTTGAATAATAAAGTGAAAACAATCAAAAAAATTATCCAAAATTACTGAGTTAGAGTTTTAAATGAATGAAATTTAACAGACTAAAATAATCCCTTTATTAATATCTTGGCTTAATTCTAAAGTGTTATATCTATAAGTAATTAAATAAATTGGAAAAAATGGATATTCAACCTTATAATTGCAGATATATATAAATAATATAAATTACTTTAACTGAAAGACGTTTATTAAAATACAAAATTTTATATTACTTTTGGATTATATTTTACAATAAAATATTGTTATAAGACATTTAAAGACATTATATTTTTAATGTTTATTAGAAAATATCACTTTTACAAATTATTATTTCAAATATATGTTTAATTACTAAAATTTTGTAGTACATTTGATAAATATGAATATTTATAAAATTATATCTAAAGAACATTAAAGTATATTTTTTGCTTATTGTATAATTGAAGATATAAAGATTTTAAAATTTGAATATTATATTATTTGATGATTATTCAATTAATATAAATAAATCTTTAGTTTTTTATCATCAAACTCCTTAACATATGTGACAGTTTTAATTACATAAGAGGATATTATTTGCATTAACTTAAAAATTAAAAATATTCATTAATCATATTTTTCATTAAAAATATTAAATTAAATTAAATTAGATTATCATTTTAATACTACTTAAATAATGTGCAGAAGTAGTAAATATTCTTTAAATAAATATATTATTTATCTAATTAGAGATTAGAAATGCTTTTGTAGCTCCTCTCATTCAAAAATAAAAATCTACTTATAAGGGCTTTGACTAATAAAATTCATGAATTGGAATATAATCAAAAATCAAATCAAACATATGTTTATGGAAATAATGAGGATCTAACAGTTGCAGGATAACAATTTCTGGAATTCTATTTCTATGATTATATGCTGCTTTAAGGGTATTAATGATTTTAACCTAAGTTACCCTAATCAACTATCTTGCTTTAAAAAGCCTAATGATATAATATAACTAAGGTAGAGATTAATAAACGATTAAAATTTAGCAGAAATTGGTTTATAATTGAATCTCCAAAAATTTTTGAAAGTTGGAAACCAAATTCAATTAAAGTATTGCAATCAATAAATTTTTAGGACTAATCAAAAAGTATTGGCTGATACAATAAAGGCTTTGATTATAGCACAATATTATGATAAGTTTTAGGACTTAGAGTCTTTAAGAAACCTTCTTTATCCTGTGATGGATTTTTTATTAAATAAGTAGGCTATAATAATAAATCTTGCATAGAGTGTAGTAGGAATAAATAATCTAAGCAAAATACAATCCAAAGTCGAGTTTTATAGAATATTTAAATACAATACAAGAGGAAATAGTTGTATAGCCAAAATTGATAATAGAATGGAAAAAGAATGAAAAAAATTACAATCAGTCAATATTTTAGATTTAACTTGAATTAGACATTTCAAATAAAATAATGGTTGAAAATTACTAACTAAAAATTTAAAAACAAGGAATTAGTAAGAGAATAACAGAATAATAAGTTTATTTAGAAGCATTGTAAGAATTAAAATAATGGTTGACAACATATAACAATAATTAATTTTAATAAGCAGAATAATAAGCAGAAAGAATTAATCTATCTACTTCTTTAGATTCACAGCATATCAATAATATGAATATTACTGTTTATGAATTTCCTCAATAGATTGAAAATGATACAGATGAAACAGAATTTTATGATTAATTATCATAAATGTTAATTTAAATTGCAGAAAAAGATGAATTCTGAAAAATTCTAACTAAAAATAGGTGATAATCAAATACATTATTATAAATAAGAAAATATTTGATTATTCTTAATAATTTCACAAAAACATTAAATTAAAATAGGTTTTATTGATTTCTATTGATATAGTTTGATTATTATATAATAGTTATCATCAAATAAGAAGAATAAATAATAGGGAATTTTTAATATTTTTATATTATTTATAAATTAAATGTAAAGCGGATTCTCAGTTTGCAGAAGAAAACCTGGATAAACTTTTAGAAAGACTCTTGGATTGTATAATTATAAATTAGGACATCAGTAATATCATAAAGAACCTGGGACTGTTTCATTAAATGCAGTTGAGTAATTGAAAAATGTAATAAGTGAATAAATATTTTGAATAGACTAAAACTTATGAAGGAATAATGAGGATTAGAAAATTGAGATAAGAAAGTGATAGAGTATTTGGAAAATTTATAGGAAGTAATTAAAATATTATAACATAAAGCAAAATTTGTGGTTGATAAGAGTAGAATCCCATAATACGATATACCAGATTTAACTGGATTTGAAGTAATTTGATGACTATTTTAGCTCAAACCTTATGTATCATACCATACTCCTTAAGTTGATATGGAAACTTAGACAAAATTAGCAAGAATGAATGATTTTAATTTAATTGAGAATTTAGTACCTCGATCGGAAACAAAATTATTAGATAAGAAGTGACGCATCAATATTAAGAATTTTAAATACCCTATCTTAAATATCATATTCTTCTATTCTATCTTTTTGTATTTTTATTATTTATATTCAAAATATGAGTTCCAAAAGAAGAGTAGGAATAGCCCATTTTCTCTTAAGAACCTTTGAAATGCTAGATGTACAAAAATATAATTATAGAATTTCCACAGACACCAAAGCTTAAACATCTGATAGAGTGGTCTCCTTGTGGAGAGATGTTCTATATTAAAAACTCTAGAGAATTTGCTAACAAAGTAAAGTCAAGATTCAAATTTATTTTTTAGGTGCTTCCATAATATTTCAGACATCGAAACTTTTAATCTTTCTTAAGATAATTAAATATGTATAACTTTGTTAAGAAACGGTTGAAGAATGGTTGGAATCAATTTTAACACAAGTATTTCAAAAGGGAAGCCAAGTATATTATTTAAGATTATTATCAATCTTTTTAGAAATCTACTTATACACGTTCATCGTCGAAGTAATGGTTAATAATCTGACGAAGAAGAACAAACAGGTATTTTTGTATTACTATTTTATAGACTAATAAGACTCAATAAAAAAACAATAAGAATAATTGCAATAAATCAAATATCTCTAAAATGATATTGTTCTTACATCAAGTTTCCTATTTCAATAATCAGTAATTCTATAAGGCAACTTCTAACATCTCAAGAATGTATTAACATAATGTTTAAATTAGAAATTATTGTATCAGTATATAGAGGAACAGAAATAAGAAAAGTTTCTCTTTAATACATTCTCTCTACTTAATAAATCACAAACGAATTCTCCAAAGTTAACTTAAACCATATTAACTCAAAATCGTAAAGAAACAGAATAGGAACCATAATTATTTGTACTCTCTTGAATAACAAGATTTTTTATATCATCACCTTCATAAAAATATTTATTATTATAAAACTTTAACTGTTACATTTCTAATCACAAACTTCCAAATTACATTTTACATTCTATAATCACTATATTGTCAATTTCATATCACTAAAATGAGAATGAATGATGTAATTAACTTAATATAAATATCTTTAATTGCATAATTTATATTTTAAAATAGATAAATTATATCATTTTTATAAACACTTGTATATTATCATTATAAATTGTTTTTATAAAATTTATGAAAACAGAGCCCTTTTTCATTTATCTTATAACGTCACATTATTTAGATTAATCAATACAATCAAGTGATTTCTGAATTTAATTTAATTATATAATATGAGTTCTTAATAAAATAAATAGAAAGATGTTGTCAATAAATAAATGATATTTGCACTGAATCCAAAACCTGATTTCAATATTAATAATCCAATAAAAATCAATAAATCTAATACTTATGATCCTAACTATGTGAAAAATGAACCATCATAAAAAACAACAAATTAAATATCTAATTCAAACATTGGAACATTTAAAGACATAGAATAATAAGTATATTCTATTATCATCATCTTAGAAATAAAATAATGAATCTAAATGTTTAAATAAATAAAATAAAATTAAGTACATAGCAACCAGGTAATTAAGTCATTATATTAGATTAGATCAATTGCTGGATTGAAAGCCTATACTAAAATGTTGAAAGATAATTAAGATTCCTTATTCTACAAGTTAGAAATCAATAAATAAACTGATAAAAATATATTCCTTTTGGCTGATGGACATGGTGAATAAGGAGCTAAAGTATCTTAATTTGCAATAAAACAACTTTCTGATTGCATTTTTGATATGATCTAATCTATGAACACTCAACCAAAATTTGTTGAGTAACTTAATTCAAATATTACAGCATTCTTCTAATAAATTGATTCCAATCTAGTAATTAAATCAATTAAAATAATTATTAGGCAAATCTATCCAATATTGATATCACTGATAGTGGTTCTACAATGAATTTGGTTTTGACTTTTGAAAATTATTTAATATCAGCAAACATTGGAGACACAAGAACATTTTATTTTCAAAGAAGTGATAAACCAGATTAACTTGGACCTTCTACATTAAAAATTAAATAATTATCAATTTAGCATACTCCTGAAAAACCATAAGAATCATAAAGGATTTTGGAATCAGGTGGAAAAATTGAATAAGAAACTTAAGGCTTTTAAAAGACTGGACCATTAAAAGTGAAATCAAAAAAATAAGATATAAATGGTGCCACAATTTCAAGATCTTTTGGTGATGCCTTAGCAAAGTAAATTGGAATCATTTCTCTACCTGAAATCCATACTTTCTAAATTTAGCAAGAGGGTTTTTTAATATTAGCCACTGGATCTATTTTGGATATGATTGATATTATAGACATTTGTAGAATCTTAACACCAATCACTCCTCCTAATAGTTAAGCAGCCATTGATAATGCAGCAGGATAAATTATAGAAGAGGCAAGAAAAAAGGCTAAACTTTAACCTGATATATAGGATGATTATTCATTGATTTTAGTTTATATTGAAATAGATTTAGCTTGAAATCCTTATAGCAATCAAAATAATATAATTCAAAGAGTTCGTCTAAGTATTTAAAATAATTATTAATCTAAACATCAAAAATCCATAGTTCTTTTTGAAGATAGAAATTTTAACTTTAGTTTATACTCTCTAATACTGTTATTTTATTAAAATATAAAGAGGGAATTGAATTGTTTCAAAATTACATAAATAATTAAAATTTGCATTTATTTAGTTGTTCCTATTTTAATTATATATTATTTCTATTTTGATTTAAATTTTCCAATAGATTATAAATAGAATAGTTTAATTGACTATTTATATATCTACTTTTGCTATTAAATTTATAATAAGAATCTTATTGGGATTGATTTAATTGAAATTTCAATATTATCTAAATTGTTTTAGAAATAGATTTGATTCTTGATCAATAATATAAATAGTATATTTGCCTATAATTAAAAATAAAATAGTAAAATATATAGAAATTAGCTATTAATTATTTCAATTGGCTCTTTAATCAACTAATTATCTGATTTAATCCATGATATTATTCATTGACTATATTTTACTATTTTTGGTAGCCAAATCCGAAAATCGTTGCTCAAAGTACTTAATTAGGGATTCAATCGAAAATACAATATTATCCTATGATTATTGAATAAAATTATTACCAACTATTTTTGATTAATTAATTGAGTTATTTTAGTGATAACTTCTTTTCCCTCTTTGTCAATTGATTCATCTAAATAAAAACATTTTTATATCATCAATAATAACATCATAATTATATTGGAATATGTATTAGTGACTTTTTATGTTTTTTTTAGATTGTTGACTAATTCAATAGATTGAGTAGATTCTGTGCTACTATGATGTTTTAGATAATCATGATTCTCTTTATTATACCTATTTGTATTTCCATTATATTGTGATTATTCTGTGATACTATATTATTTATAGGATTAGATCTTTTTCTTTAGAAGTCCATTGGTTTCATTCAATAATTATAATTAATTTTGTGTTTCATCTAATGTTTTAGTGATTTCTTAATTTAATTTAGTCAAATAAATTATTTATGATTATTATTTTTCATACTTAGATTGCAACTCTTAATATTGGATTTATTGTTTTTATAATTAATTTTATGACTATTCCAATGATTCAAGTAATTATGTAAATAGAGCATAGGAATCATTCTGATATAATTCATTTTATACTGTTTCATCATGATTGAATTGTGCATTTTTATCTTCTTCAGTATTCATAGTATTATTAGATTTTTTGGTCATATTCTCTCTACTTTGACTAAGATCATTTTCAGCACTAATTTCTTCGATAGATCTGAGGGGGATTAAAATAATAAATTTTACGATCTCATTTGATACAATTTAAGAAACTTTTTCTATAATGGAAATGATGCTGTATCAGGTGAACCAATTTGAATTGAAGAATTTACACTATTTTAATTTTGGGAAAATGGTAATCTGGTTGGATTGAAATTGTTATTTGAATTCAATCCAAATGAACATCTAACAGATGATAATTTATGATTTTCTTATTAAGGATGAGGTGAAAATTATAATAATTGTTGTACTTCATTTAACTTTGAATTTAATTTGATATATTTACTTTTTCATGATCTGATGACTTTTTAATTTGAATTGCACTATCAATTTCTGCATTATATCTTAGAGAATCAATTTATTAATCATCATCAAAATGATCATCCAATTCTGAAAAGTTTATTCTTTTTTTTGGGTAACTAGACATATTTGTTAATATTTAAATTTTTTAATTAATTAATAATTATTATTATATATATAAATCGTTTTTTGAGAAGGAATGAGCTTTAAATATTTATTACTCTTTTAATTGATCCTTTTATGTGTAGCAAATAATCAAGGGAAATCAGTTAAGTTATCAAAGAAATAAGCACATCATAAGCATCATAAATCATAAAAGTTTTTGGATAGTATAATGGTAATTTTATAATGATAATAAAAAAAGGACGTAAATGATGATTCAATAGAACTATTACTATAAAAACATGAAGTAAATTCATACAAAATCAAAAGAATTTCTATTTGGCTGAAATGACAGTTGGTACACCTGATTAAAAATTAACTGTTTTGATTGACACAGGAAGTCCAAATCTTCTACTTACTTCATCACTTTGTTAATAAAACAGTTGTATTCAACATGGTTCATACAATCCATCATTATCAACTACTTCATATTACATTGAAGCTATTAAATTAGCAAATGTATTTTGTTTATATATACCTAGGGAGAAGTAGGCAATGAGATTGATATATAATTTGCATCAGGAAGTGTAGTTGGTGTATTTTTTGAAGATAGAGTTTGTCTAAATTAATATTGTGTAAATAATCAGTTTATTGTTGGAATAGTAGAATAAACGGAAGATGTAATAAATAAATTGAATTATAGATATTTAGTCAAATGAAATTTGATGGTATATTGGGATTGGGACGAATAAAGGAAGCTGTTGTTAAAAATGCATCCTATATACATAATTTAGAATATGATGTAAGATATCTTGTAACTCTATTTTAAAGAATGATACTCGAAATTTTTCATTATATTTGAGTAATAGTGATGATGATGATATGTCAAGTGAGTTAGTTTTAGGAGGTATTTCATAACATTTGATTGCTCCTGGTGAGGAATTCAAATTTTTTGATGTTACATCAGATAATCTTTGGACAATAAATATTAAAGCAGTTTTTTTGGGAGATGAGAGAATTGATGATTGTAATAATTGTTAAGGTTTAATTGATTCTGGTACATCATTTATTAGTTTTCCAGTTTATGCAATGGAGAAATTTTATTAGAAATTTGGAATGTAATAATCAATATAATTTAAATTTTAGTTATTAATTATGTAGTAATATTGATTCATTTCCAGATTTGACATTTGTTTTGGATAGAGGGATTAAATTTACATTAACAGGATCATAATATTTTAAAAGAAATACTCATGCATTATTCTCTAAAGATATATGTATTCCATATATTAAAAATAATCCAATTATTGGAGATGAACTAATTGTATTAGGATAGCCATTTCTTATTCATCATTATGTTTGGTTTGATGAAGATTAATCAAAAATTGGAATTGTTAAATCGAAATAACAATCTCATCAATGATGTTAATCATGATTTTATACATTATAAATTCATTATATATATTGATATTAATCATTATTATAATTATAATATTTAAACTATATCATTTATATATGCAATAAAATCCAATCCAATTTTAAATCATAACTTGCAATCTCACATCAAGTCCAGAAAAATTTATTTGTATAAGCACATAATGTTAAGAGAATAGAGATTAATCATTTGGTTGTTATGAATGTTTAATTAAAAGACATAATTAAATAGATTAACTCCATTTTGATAAAATTATAGAAATTACAACATTTTTATCTCAAATCTAATAGAAATAATAAAAGAAAATTGAATTATTAGAAAAAGTAATAAAAGAATAAAATTCTAAAAAAAAAGTTGTTTAATAAAAAATTATTGAAGATTAGAATATTTTAAATAATGATTTAGTATAATAAAGAATAGAATAACTATTTAACATTGATCTTATGAAATTATAAAATGAAAAAGATTCAATTAATAATACCATTACTTATTCTAATTAATAATAATGCAAATTACTCAAATTATTTAATGAAGACATTGAACAATATGAAAAAGAAATAACTGAGAAAGAACTTAAACTATAGGGAAATGTAGATTAAATTTTAGAAAGTTGTCAAATTGTAACTCTTTAATAATTTAATATGTAATTTATATAACATTAATTATTAGACTTAAGAATCAAATATAAAAACTATAAGATGAATATCAAAAATAATTATTATTAATTGTAATCATGTTTTAATTATATTTAGAATTAATTAAAAACACAATAAATAACTAATAAACGTAATACATTTATTGAAGTATTATTATGGTTTTATGTACCTCTCTTATTTTTGATTTTTCTTTATCTAAATAAGGAGTATCCTCATTTATTTTATTCAACTTCTTATGATTTAGAATCTGAATCAGATTTAAAATAAATAATTGAAAAAATTTAAGATTAAAAATCAGTATCAAAAAATTAGACTAATTAATCATGGCTTATTAGTGAAATACTTGAAAATCGTAGTGTTTAGGAATTTCAAAACTTTACTTTATTATATGAAAATTCATTTAGTGAACCTTTTACTAATTATTCATATGAATAAATATTACTTAAAGTTTTTTAGGATAAGAAAGATTAGATTGTTTGTATTGGAGCTAAATTAAATTTAAATTTGAAATTGATTGGATGTGATTTAGCAAGCGAAATATTTTCATTAACATAGAATGCTTATAGTGCTCGTAAAAGCAAGAATGGTGAAATCTATTGGTATTGGTTTTCATCAAAATCTTTTGGATTTTCTCCTAATAGAGACATAGCTCTCAACAATACTGATGAAGAGGATCCTTCTTGTGAACTAAGATTTTCATATGGTACAACAAAAAATTTAGAGGATAGAAGAATTGGCTCTTTGAAAGGTTATTAAAATACTAAAGAATATAATTTGGTTATATATATGCTGAATGAAAATAATTGATATTAGTATATATATATATGTATAAATTTTGTTTATAATTAAATACATGTTAGTAATTCAATTTTTAAATGTTTATAATATATATTTTAATAATTTCTTTTATATGAATTAATTTGAATAAAGTGATAAAAGAAAGTAGTGTTCATTAGATTAAATGTTCAAGAAATATGAGGAAGCCACCTATGTATGTTTATCTAATAATTGAACTAGAGATATTAAAAGGGATTAGAGGAGAAAAAATAGAGAGCAAAGTTAGAATCAGATAAAGCGAGGGAAGCATAATTTATTTAAAAACTTGAGGCTTAGAATAAAAAGATAGAATTTGATGAAAAATTATAAGAATCTTAAGAGAGAAAAAAGGATATAGAAAAACTTATGTTGGAGAAATAATAATAAAAAAATAAAAAAGATGAGGAAGTAAGGAGAAAGAAGAAGGAAAATGAAGATGAAAAACTATAAAAATTATTAAAGAAATAAGAAAAAAAAGATATTCAAGTTAAGAAGGTGAAAAAGGATGTTTAAAAGATTAAAAGAAAAGATGAATTAAAAATATTATTAGATTAATCTATATCAGATGATGCATCATTAGATTTAGAAGTAGAGAAAAAACGATAATGTAAATCATTATCAGATTCTTTATAAGCATTAGAGAGTGATCAAATAGTATATTTTAAATTATAAAAATAAAAAGAAGTTGAAATAAAAGAAAATAAGAAAAAGTAAAAATAAAAAAAAATTATGCCATATAAAACTTTTAGAGAATAATCTGTACCTATAATTAAGAAATCTATAATATTTCCTATTTTAATTCGTTCTAAATAAGATGATAATTCATATCTTTTACAATAAATTCTATAATAATAATAACCTTTATCACCCACATTTAAAAATGAAGATAATTCAAGTACAAATGTAACTCCAAAAAAAGATAAAGAAGAAGAACCATAATTTTTCAAACTTTGTTAAATTTGTAATAGTATTATAGAAAATGAAGATGACAATAAACATATATAATCAAAATCACATAAATAAACAAAATAATATTATAATCTAACAACTACATAAAATGATATTTTAATTGTAAAAGGATCTAAAGATGAGATATCATAAAATAGATTCTAATCAATTAGAAAAAGATGTTAAAAAATTAAATAAAAAATATAATAAAAAAGTCTACAATTAGAAAATATGAATATTTATTGTTATAAAGAACCAGGTAATAGTTATAATAGATAAAGAATTTAGAAATTATCTAATGATTTAGATAAATTGTTGAACTATTAAATTAAAGATTTATATCAAATTCAATAATAAATGAAAGAATTATTAAAATTAGTCAATCAAGAAACAGATTTAATTAATCTTAGATAAATGAAATTTATTTAAATTGTTATTGAAGTTTTCAAAAAGATATCATCTTGTCATAAAAATGAATATACTTAATATCTTAAAATTATTGGAGTGGTATAAATTATTTAATTATTATATAGGCAACAGAAATAGTATATCAATTTTGTAGTGTATACAATAATAGAACTTATATGTTGGCAAGTAATAAATTATTACCTATTATTGATTTTATGTATAACTTTTTAGCATCAAAGCCAACTAAATTTATATATAGTTATCAATTTGTTGCTTAATGTTTTTAAATATTTAGTTTACTTATTAAACATAAATTACCTACAGATCCACTTTCTGATTTAAATATTTAGGAAATATAAGAAGATACATTGGAATATATGTATTGTTGTGGATTATTTAATAAAATGAAATTAAGATTTCTATCATTTGAAAAAGATTACATAAATTCTGAAGGTAAAATCCCTGTTGCATTAGTTAAGAGTGTTGCATTTATAGAAGCTGCAACAAATTATCATGGATTTGAGTAATTTTAATAAAAATGATAGGACATAGAATAAATCATTATTTGATGAAGAGGGTAAAAGAATATCCAAAAGTTTTGAAGAACATCTTAAATTTGTAATTAAAGAAACAGAATTATTCGGATTAATCTAATTAATTAGTTAAATGGTTGTAGGCGAAGAGATTTGTTTTACAACAAATAAATTACTTCCATAAACAATTATTAGTTTTTTTATGGTAGGAATCAAGACTTTAAATAATATTGCAAGATTAAATATTATAGTATTGTAAGAAACTATGAATAAATATTCTAATAAATAAGAAGTTCATATGATAATCTAAAGGCTTGTAACATATTGTAAATACAATCTTGAGTAAAGTTAGGATTTAAAAGATTTATTAAATGAATTAATTCTTTTAATTGGGTATTATTGTGTATTAAATTAAAATAATCAAAATTCACTTGTAGGATCAATGAAAAAGATATCTGTATTACATAACTTATTGTAAATGCCTTCACAATTTTATGTTGATAAAATGTTAAAGAATATACTATTCCCTACTTTATTATGTTGTATGTTCAGAAACCCTAACAACATGAAAATTGTATTAGATGAAATGGACAAATCCTATTTTTTAGAAATTTTATAATATGATGTAAAATTAATATATAAATATAGTCTGAATAATTTTATGAAAACCACAATGGTCAATAATTGTAAAGATCACCATCAATGTCTAGTACAAATTCTTAGAATTCTGTATTTCCATACAGTTCAGCTATTTACTTTAAATTAAGTTAACGATTTCCTATGTGTTATTTTAAAGAAGCTTATAAAGAATTATTAGATTATAAGGAATGATTAAAATTTTAATTAAATTTAAAAGTTTTTATAATACTTCAAATATCTTTACCATTTATTTAATTAATATCTAATTCTTCATTTTTACCAAAAAGAAAGTCATGAGATGCTCTAAAAACATCATAAGTATTTTAGATATCAATTCCAAGAGAATTACATTAATTTCTTTCAGTCATAAATTAATATAAATCTAAAGAGTCATCCTCTTCTATTTCATGACCAAAGAATTTCTCAAATGATTCTTTAAAATGATTTTACATGTCTTTCTTTTCTATTGCTAAAAGTAATTTTGCAACTTATGATGGTCTTAATTCAGTTCTCAATTAATCAAGAGTTGAATCAAATGATGCAAGTTCTTTTTAAATTAAAGATTTTGTATCCATAATTTAATTAACAGAACTAATTTATTAAATTAAATATACTTAGATATATCTTGATAATGTTTGGCTAACTTTTATTATTTTTTTAAAAGTATTTACTTTTATTTATCTGCTAATTTCAATTAAGTTAATAAATTAAGATTCATATTTCTATAAATATATTATTACAATTTTACTATTCATTTTAACAGAAAATATCATCTTATTTCTTAGCTATTTAAATGATATAATTGCAAAAAGGAGCTAAACAATTTTCATTTATTTATCTTGCATAATGATCAATTAAAAATTATCTTTCTTAAGATGCTGAACCAAATTTTTTCTAAATAAAACAAATAATTTACATTTAAAGAATCTATAATCGAATCAACATTTGCTTCTGATGCATTATTTTACAATGATGTTTAAAGATTATTAAATAAAATGCATTTAGTTTAATCTTGTTCTTTTTTCTAAGAATATATTTGAATTACTTACTTGTGTTAATTTAATTTATAAATTTTATGCCAAACTATAAGTTTTATCATTAACATCTTTAAATAGATCCAATTATTCTGATAATTTAGTTACTTTATTTTCAAGTAATTCAAGATAAATTTTCTTTCTTTTTCTACTATTTCTAGCTGATTCTCTATTCTTTGCTAATTTATCTTCCTTTTCTGTTTAAGAGACATAATTGAATTATTATTGACTCTAAAAAGGTTTCATTAATAATTTTTTTTCTGGCCTTTGTAATTATTCTAATTATATACATTGCTTTCTCTTCAATTTTTTCTTATGTTGGAGATAATTTCATTAATGAACTAATTTTTTTGATATAAGTATTTTTTGTATTTTCTTTAATCTTTCTATTCTGATTTGCAGAGGTTTAAATATTCTTCACATTTCCTTCAATCTCAAAATTTACATTTTGACTGGAAGATTATTAGAAGGGAATTGGATCAAAATCATCTAATTGATTCATTTTTTATTAATATTATAGATTATTATATGCTGTAATAAATCCTAATGAAGTTAAATCATTTGATAATAAATTAAATTATTATAAATTTTATTTATTATATAATTATTCATTTTAAAACTCTTACTCTTAATTTATTTTGCTTTTTCATTGTTTAATATTTATACACCATTTATTAAGATTTATTATTTAAAATCTAATTTAATCAATTTTATTAAAAATAATTCCAGAAAATAAGACAATATTGAATGTTCAAAAATACCAAATATGTAATTAATGTTAATGTGAATGATTTAACTTTATTATACTCATTTTTATCTCATAACTATTATTATTATTATATCTCACACTAATAAATTATTAATTCAAAAACTTGTGTAATTATTAATGTAAAATAATTTATATAAAAAACCCCAATTATTTTATAATCAATTCATATAGTGTATTTAAATATTGAAAAATTATTTATTAATTTTCTATCATAACATATTAAAATGTTATATATTGAGAGTTTTAATGTCATTAATAACCATTAATTATTAGATCCAAAAGAGTTCAAATGATAATTAAAAATTTACAAAATTCAAATAAATTCCTTCCTATATTATTATTTAATTACTATGCCTTAATTAATTTAAAGAATCATATTTTATAAATAAATATATAATTACTTAAGTAAACTTTTAAATATATGGAAATCTTGAAAAAGTATTTCAGATTTGTTATTTAATAATTATGAATCCTCTAAATCTATTCTATATTTTTTTATTAAAAAATATAAGATGAGTATTGAGTTCATGAGTATATTTAAAAAATAAATATTAAAGAGATCAAGATTAAATGATATCAAAATTATTTAAAATACAGAATATCTTTGCAATAATTTAAGAATCAATAAAAGACAATTTTAATTTTTTTCAATTTTCAATAAATTTATTCGTAATTCTAATAATTTTATTAATGAAATAATATATCTCTATTTGAAAATGAATCTATTTTAAATTAAATATTAAAATAACATTAAGAATTAGTAATTACTTTTAAATTAAATTGAAAATAAACAGATTGATAAAAATGGAATAAATATCATTCTGTTTACTAGTGTATAGATTCATATTGTTTACTTAATCTTTATTTAAAACCTGAAAAATTTAGGATTGGATTTCAAACTATAACAGAATATATAAGTACCCTTGTTAATCTTTAATTTATTGATTTTCAATTATTCCTTATACTAAATCTCTTTTGCAAACATCTATAAAAAAGTTCATTACACTTTCTCTTGTATTAATATCATCATCATTATCATATACTTCTTGTAAAAGATTTTAATATTCTGGTTTGATTCCAAGTTGTCGATCTGTATATAAAGGAAATTTGAATTTAATGTTAGTATCAGTTTATGACTATAATTCTACATACTTTTAAGTTGGCTTTTTCTTTTATGAAATAGTTGATTGTTAATGAGATAATGAATATTAATCCCATGTCATTTTTTATATTGGAATATTCTCTTTGCCAAAATCAATTTTGAATATTGAACTATTTGAAGGTTCAGGTAAAGTATGTAGATAAATAGATGTATGCCGTCTTTCTGCTTTTGGAGATGATTGATTCATTTCTTTGAATAGTTTGGCGCACTATTAACTTAAATTTAAAATTATATTGAAAATCTACTTATATAATTTAATAGGATATTGAATAATTAGAAAAAGAGAATCATTAGATTTAAGCAATATAAGTTAAATATAATGGAATGAGATCTGTTTAAATATAGTATAATAATAATTATGTGAATCTTAATTACATATAAGATTTTAGATAGTTTAATATTGTGTATAATCAATAAAAATACTAACATTATGTTGATAAGTGAATTATAAGAATTATCTTTGTATGTAGGAGAGGATTTCAAAATGTATATTACACATCTATATTTTAAATTATAAATATAGATTAAGCTATATGAATAAACATTTGATGATTTGAATGATGGAATTAAGAAATGAAATAATAAATCTTATTTTTATATGATATTTGTTATATATAATTTAGAGTATTGACATTCTGAAGTTGTTTTAGTTATTCTCAAGTTTGTTCAATAATTGTTTTTAATTTACATTATATAATTTATATATAATTGTATGACATCCTCTTCAAAGACTGATTAAATTTACCTGATGACACTTTTCAAAGAAATCAAGACTTCCCTATTTAAGTAAGTGATTATTTAATGATAGAGTGTTTTGCTTGATTTTAAAAGAACAAGAATAAACATTTACTTAAACTGTGTTGTTGTCAACAATTTAGTTGCTCTAATTACTTTATATTCCTTTTGCTCTTAAAATTAAGTACATTTGGAAAAATAATTAGGTAACTGATGTAATCAATAAAATATTAAGGTATAGAAATGTTATATATTTCAGTTATTTTGAAATATTGTTGCATGTAAAAGATCAAGGTTTTTCAGTATTTTTATATTTGTTTTATTCATTTTCTGGATTGATTGTCTTAATTATGTTAGGATTAACTTTATTAGTGAATTAATAAAATAGAAAAAATAGTACAAATTGGATAGTGTTGGTTGTTAGAATAAGTATAAAATTAATGATTACAATCTTATTTTTTCCTATAAATTAAATCTTCTTTGGAGTATTTATTATTAACATAATTTAATAGTTATTAGCATGTACAAACAATTCAAATGGTATAAGTGTATTAGTTTATTAAACAAATATAATATGTTGGTCAGATGAACATACAATTCATGCAGTGTTATCAATCTTTATTATATTATTATTCTAGATTCAAATAAATACATTTACCCTATTCTTATTTGAAGCAAAAAAATCAAATACAGATGTATTTGCATAAAGATCTGGTAGATAATTTTCTTTATTTCATATATACATAACATTATCAACTATGGTTTATTAATTAGTAGAAACACCTGCCTATAGTATAATCATAATTTTGACAATGTTTGTATTAAGTCTACACTTTTTTTATCAAATAAAATATTCTGCACCATTCTATAATTAATATGTGTAGAAATTATGGAATGTGATAACAGCAATTAATTGTTGGACTACTTTAATGATCAATTTTTGCTTTTTCTTAGAAGGACCTTATTTTTAGAATTCTCTTTTAGGTTATGCCTTAGGAATACCAATACTAATAGGAATAATATTCAAATAATAAGATTAGGAAATAGATTTATTATTTTCTAATCTTAATTAAGCATAATAACCTAATGAATTGATATCCTTATGTGGATATCTTCTAACATTAAATGAGAAATCAATAAAGGATTAACATTCTTAATTATTATTAGATGCATTCTTAGAAATACATGAATAAACATGTCCAAGATTAGATTGTATAATGAAGAATAAATAATTATTGAGATAAATTTAAAATAAACATTAAAATAGACAAATAGAAAATAAAATTATTATTAATGAATTAATTATTTAAATGCTTACATTTGGAATCAAAATGTAACCTTTAAATATAGATTTACGTCTTTATTATTCTTTTTTTTTAATTGATGAAATTAAATCTCCATAATTAGCATTTATTGAATTATCTTAAGCAGAAAATAATTCAATCCCAATAGATTAATAATTTATTATTTATAGATATAAGAAACTTATTGAAGATGTTTAAGTTGAAAATGATGTTACTAAATTAGATACTAACAATTTTATCAATAATTAAAATATCTAAATATCTTTAAATTAAAAATTAGAAGCCTAATGTATTTTGCAATTAGAATTTCTGGCTGCTTTGGAAGATGAAAAGCCAGATCTTGCTAAAATAGATAGTGTTGGATTTAAAATATTAAGATTAAAAAAATTCATTGATAAAGAATGGTAAAAGGTTTAATAATAGAATGTATATTCACCAACTTTATTCAAAATGATGAGTAAATACTTCTTTTTTGTTCTTAGTGATGAATATGAAGGTAATATGACATTGATGAAGTAAGATAAATTTATTAAACTTTAAATAAATGATCTTATTAATTTAGAATAGGCATCTATTGAATCATCTCCAATAATTATTTTAAATACTGAATAAAATAATTTTGGTATAATAAAAGATGTGAATATAGCATCTTGTAGTTTTTTAGGATTTTCAAAAAGTGATTTAATTGAAAGAAAATTATCAGTTATTCAACCATAAATGTATTGATTTTAATTAATTTTAGTTATATAAATTATCATGATTAATTGATTGATAATTATTTAAAACGTATCACTGATATATAAAAATCAAAGGTTGAAAAAGTCATTTTCATAAAAAATAAATAAGGATATATTTAATAATGTTCATTATAAATAAAATAATTAATGACTTAAAATTAAGAGGTATTCTTAATAGGGAAAATAGGAATAGAATTAGTTTATAAACCAATTTGTTATTTGATATGTAATACTGATGGAATAATAAAAGAAATTAATTGTGCTTGTATAAAACTTTTACGTTTAGATATTTAAATGATTAAAGCAAGTAATAAAAATATTAAAGATCTTTTTCCTGATATTATGAGTAGAATACCTGAAATATTAGGTAAAAAGAATTCAATCATTTCTTTTAACATTAATTCAAATTAATTAAATCCTTAAAGATCATCATCTATTAAATCTTCAGGAATGGATAGTACTCTTTTAGATGATTGTGTTATGGATGAATCTCTTAAATTGTAATGTTAAATTTAAGAAATCTATATTGATCTACCAAATGCTGGATTAATTGGTTATGTTTTTAAATTTGAGAAAATCACTCCACCATCAATACCAACTATACATAATACTATGGTAGATAATTTTTATAAATTTAATTTTAAATTTAATTCATAATTAGATACTTATTTTGGATCTTATTAAAATTATATGTAAACTTTACATAAAATCAGTTATGATACTAGTTCTGTAGTTTCATCTTAAGAAGATTAATAATTAAGATAAGTAAATAGAAAATAAACAAAAAAATCAACTAGTATAAGTAATGGTATAAAAACTGTTAGATTAATAAATGGTATGCTCATTGATGTTGAAGGACTTTCAGAAGAAGAAATTTCTGAAAGTGAATAAAATGAATTAGAAAATATTAAATAAGAAACTAAAGATTCAGATAGTGTAATATAATCAGATTATATCTTTTTAAAGACTAAATCTTCATTAACATCAATGATAAAGAGTTCTATTATACCATAATTTCTTAATTCTTTAAGGTATCTTATATCAATTTTAATTGTTGGTTTACTAACACTTGGTTATTTGCAATTTTTTTTTGATCTAAACTATTAAGATAAAATAAAAAATGGATTGGATCTATTTTATTAAAGTAATTAAAGATTATCAAAAATTCTTATTGTACAATCTTATATATAAGAATTAAAGTTTATGAATTTAAAATATGAAAATTTGACATCAAATTATAATTTTGATGAATTAAAAGAAGCCAACATAAAGATCATAAATGAGATTACTAATTTATAATCAAAATTAAGTTAAGCCAGTTTTGATTTAGCTCCTTAATATATCTCTTACTAATAAGAATATGAAGATTCTGCTATAGAAATGAATTAATCAAATGTAGTTATCAATTATACTTTTAATGAAGCAATAGAATAAACTTTAGTCAAAGCCCTTTCATTATCACAATAAGACCTTTCATCATACACAGATAATAATGTTGATCTCAATTATTTTGAAACTAATTCTTTTAATTCAATAGTCTATCATAATTATGTTGCTTAATTCTATTATTACTATTACATGGTGACAGTATTAGAGGAGAAATCATAAAATGTTCAAATAATTTTAATTTTAGTTACCCTTATATTATTTATAATGTAATATATATTACACCTATTAATTTTAGTTATGTTGCATGTTCAATTTTGATATTGAAAATAAAAAATCTTAGAGATAGTATCCTAGTTCTATTATTATAGGTATAGGAGTAATAAATAATTAATTTGAAGAAAAATTATGAATACTTTTTATAACTTATTTAAAGTAAAGAAGATGAAGAAGTATAATTTAATATTTTAATGATTAGAATTTAGATTATGAAGAAGAATTGAGGAAGCCAATCTAATATCAAGAAGAAGGTGCTTAGGATTCTTTGAAGACAAATGATAATGATGAGGCTTAATTTCTAATTAAAAAGAAGAGGAAAAAATTTGAAAATAGTCATACAATTTTAAGGAATATACTAATATCCATAATATTTATTATTGCAATATTTTAGGCATACTTTATTTATCTTATAATTGACAATAATGTATAATTTAATAATTATAAAAGACTCTTGACTCAAGATATAATGCTATCTTACCAGTTTTAAATTTAACTTCAATTATAGAATCATATTTAAGATTTGGAGATAATTCTTTTAAATAGAAATATGTAAACAATGATTTTCTTATTAATTTTGGTAATTTCAACTCTTAAGATTATATACAAATTTTAAAGAACATGGTATCAGATATTCACAAATAGCATTCTGAAAACTCAAATGTATTAGATATTGGTTATATTGGTATATTTGAGCAAATCTTTATTTTAAATCCTTGTAATTTGATTAAAGACATTGATTCAAGTGTTTCATTAAATGAATGCGAAAGTTTTAATGATGGAATAATAAATTAAGGATTATCTATGGCAACCATTAAATATATTAAATATTTGGAATAAGCACTTAAAAATCCAATATATTTTACAAATATTAGGAAGACTTAATTAACTTATTTTAAAGATTCTTTCTAATACTTAGGAGATAAATTAATTGAATCAATATCTAATGATTTTTCAGTTAATTAATTGACTAAAGTATCCTTATTTACTGTATTTAATTTGTTAATGCTTTTTGTTTATTTTTTTATATGGATACCTTTGATAAGGAATTTAATTCAATCAATAATAAAAACTAGATTGCTATTTTCATTAATCCCAAATAATGATTTGCTTAAGTATTCAATTTTAAACTATGTAGAATAAAAGCTATCATGCAATATTTATTATAAATAAGAAATCCTATGTGAATAGTTAAATGATTCTGATTTTGATATAAAATTAATATCTTAATACTAAGTTTTTATTATTGAATTAAAATAAAATAAATAAACTTAATATCATCTTTCATGTAATATTTATTTTGCTCAACTCCATCATTGAATTTCTCTTAATTTCTGAATATTTTTCATGAATTTCTTGATCTCTTTGACTATCTAATTTCAATTCCTTCATTCGTTTTGACTGAAGCACTTCAATTTATTCATCAAAAACAAAACATGTTGAATTATTAGATGCAGTAAATAACCCTTCTGTTGGAGCAATATAACTTAAAGGATATATATATAGAGCCTTACTCATATTTATTATATACGTTATTTTTAGGATCACGTAACTCTCCAGAAAACAAGAAACCTCCATTAATGAATTCAGTTTAAGATAATGTAGTAAGTTTGATTAATCTTGATTTATTTCTAAGGAGTTCATTCAATCTCTTCAATTCCATTTAAGCAAGAGGACCAACTTAATTTTCATACCATTTTCTGATATATTCTATTAATAAAATCAAAATAATAAATACCTATTGAATGTAGATATACCTTGAATTCAAAATCTTTATTTCTGATCATAATTTCTTTGATAACTTTTGTTGGTAAAGCATATAATAGAGATTCAACAGCTGCCTTTGCTGTACTCATATGATTACCATCAACAATGAGACTTTAATGAGTTATCAAAGATCCTAATCCTTTAGTAATGAGAATTCCATTATATTCATTAACAACATAGCCTCTCATTATAATATATACTTCATTGCATTCATCTCCTTTTGAATATATAACTTATCCCAATGCATATTTTCTTTCTACTGCTACTTTTTTGATTATATCTAGATCTGTCAAAGATATTTCCTAAAATATAGGGAATTGCATAGCAATAACATGGAAGGAGGGCAAACTCATATCATATGAATGACTTTCTAATTTGACAAGTTTCATGTTAATATCCTTTATTAAGATTTTATATTCCTTATCATCAATTAGACCTCTACGTTAAGTAGATGATATATGCTCTATGGAATGAGTTAATATTGAAAAGGAAGCTTTTTTGGTTTAAAGTACTCTCACAATTTCAGGGAAATTTCCATTTAAAGTACCAAAGTAAGCCTGTGCCTTTTCAATATCTTTTTTTAATTCTTCTTGGATAATAGAAATAGCTTCTTTATTCATAGGAAAATTGTTTGCTAATTTCAATGCTTCTTCTGCACAAATAATAAATGAAGATGTAACATCATACACAAGTCCTAAATGTCTGATTAAGTATTCCCTGGCAAAATATCCGATTAAAAACTTCTGTTTCACCTTGAAAAAGAAATTGACACTGCATAGATTCATAAAATTCTTATATAATTCATCCCAAATTTCAAGATTATCATTTAATTTATCTAATCCAATATCACTAGACTCTACCAACATTTTAACAGTTTATTCTTCACAAAGACCTTCTTCATATTTATGATAATATAATCCTTTAAGAATTCTATAAACTCTATATCTGACTTCTCCAAAAATATCTTGATTTGGCAATCCGTCATAGATCATATCTTAAAATCCCTTCTTTTAAATTATATGTTTAATATCCTGTTCAACTTTATCAATTTTTTCTATAAAATCCTACTGTCCTATTAGATTACTAACAGTAGCCCAATCAGTCATGTTATAGAATTCATCAGTCTCCAATTCTTTGACTAAATCCTATTGAATAACAATCAACTCCTCTAAATATTTCTTATACACCTTCTTTTTAACAATAGGTTCATCAATCATTTTAACGCATTTTACTAACGTCTTACAAGTAGTTCCATTAATCATATTGGTTATTAAAGCCATAGCTGCAGCATAAAAAACAGCTAAATGTCTAAAACGAGCAGGTAGATCTTCATCACATCCAACCATTAACGAAAGCGTTAGTCCCAATCCTCCTCTCAATCCTCCATAAACTAAAACAATCAATTCAGACTTTGATATTGGATAACCAAAACCTAAACATAATAATTAATAATACATTTAAGGAATGGATAGAATGTTAAAACCATTAAAAATCTAGCCAAAATCATTAAGAAATAGAATCCAATCATTTTATAATAATCTGAACTCACTATCAATTTCTCTTCCATTATTTCTATACCAACTATTATCCCTACCAATAAAAAGACTAGTGTGTCACAACTATATTAGACAAATCCCCAAACTGCATGAACTGAATGTTCAACTGATGCCCTTATTCTTGTCTTTGCATTGGCACACCAGAATAAACCTAAACCAACTACAGCTAAAAGTCCACTTGTTTCAAAAAATTCAAATTCTGCCCAATAAAATGTAAAATATGTAAAAACAAATGTCAACCAAGTTACTTCAATATCATCACCTAATATTCTTTTAGTCCATAAAGCAACCAGTAACCCTAAAACTAAACCCATTATTGGTCCTAAGAATGATGTTCTAAGGAAAGTTAAGACGATATCACCTCCATTAACGGCTTCACCCTTTCCACTCGAAGCTTTTGATATATTGTTAAAAACATTAAATAACACCATTGCAACTCCATCATTAAGCAATGCTTCTCTAACCTATAACATCCTAATTCATACCCTTCAATCAAATGGTTAAAAGCTGGATTTGCTCCTAATTCTTTCAAGAGTGCAACTACAGCCACAGGATCTGTAGCTGATAAAACTGATCCCAAAGTGAATGCCTCATACCAATTCATATCATTATCATCATATTGTAGTATTAGTTTAAAGCAAGCTCCCAATAAAATAGCCCCCTTAATATATTCTATATAATAATACCCATCCACATCCTGGACCTGCCAAAAGCAAAATATTTATAATTTAGTACTTAAAAGTGTACCAGTCACAATTAAATGCTGATTCAAAAAGTAGAACTGGAATAAAAATGAAGACAATTAGATGAGGATGCATTTTTGATAATATATATGCACTATTTCCTATTTTTCCTAAATATTCTTATGAAAGACCAATGGCCAAACCAAGAGCCAGTATCATAGGAGAGTATGGGATACTTATATTATGATTAAATTGTATACTTGGTCTTTTTATTCAATTCTCTCAGAATAAGTCCACATATTAGTCCTAAAACTAGAAAATGTATAAGTTAAGCAGATTCTTCCATCTGATGTTCATCTCTCCATAAAGAATCTCTTTGTATTGATTCATAATTTTCACCTTGACCACTCAAATCATCAGATGACATTTAATAAAAATATGATTTTTCGAAGGAATTATAGTTTGTTTTTATATTGCTTAAGTCAATTTAATAAAGATTAACAATTTTTAATAATAAAATATATATATGCAACTTTTATGTTCATAATTCTTGTTATAAATATTATAATTGAATTTTTATTCTTGAGAACGTTGATCTATAATTTCTTTATGATTAATTATTCCAATCTATCCTGCTTTATCACATCAATTGCATCATTAAAAACCAAACAGATGAGTGTTTTTGTGACATTAAAATCATTTTCTCTAGGTTGTACATAACTAAATTATATATTATTATTACCAATAATCATTGTATCGTTTTACTCCATCATTCTCATCTTGAATACAACTTTAAATTTCTCCTTTAACTATATAACCATCAAACATGAATTCAAATTTTGATTGGACATCGAACTTTTTAAATTATGCCCTTTGTCTAAGGAATGTTCCTAAACGTTTTTATTCCATTTAACCTAATGGGCCAGCTTTGGATTCATATAATTTAATAAGATATTCTAAATAATATAAAAATAATTTAATCTATTGAGTTAACATAAATTTTCTATTCAAAAGCTTCTAATTTCTACATCAAAGACTTCAGTACATTTAAATTTAAAGAATGTAATACAGTTTCAGATGATGCTTTAGCAGTAGTCATGCATTTACCATCTCCAATAAGATTGGCATAAGATAATAATCATCCTAATCCTTTTTTCATTAAATGAGATCCAACTTCATCAATAACATTTCCTTTTTAGACAATATATATATTTTGGCAAGTCATTCCTTTTTCATAAATAATTTCATCAATTTGATATCTTTTCTCATAAGTTGACTTAATTATTGCATCTAATTCTTCTTTAGGAACACCTGTAAAAACAAGAAATTCCATAGCAAAAGAATGAAATGTTGGAATTTACCAATCAAAGACATGATTTTCAAGTTATACAAGACAAGTATCAATATTACTTTTTAATTGATTGAATTCTTTGTCATCTACAAGATCATTCTTCTAATTTTCTTCAAGATGATGTCTTTGATGCATTAGAACAGTATGTGAAGCTCTTTTTGTTATATAGCTCTAATGACTTCAGGGAATGTATCATTTAAAGTAGCTAAATAGAGTTCATCTTTATTAATTTCATCCATAATCAATTTAACAGAACTCTTATTCATAGCCATATGTTCTTGTAATGTAAGTACTTTTTAAAGAAGTACTTGATACTACTAAAACTTGTAAAGCCATTGAATAATTATTCCCAAAACATATTTCCACCTTAAATTTATTTAATTTCATTTTCTAATTGAACTACTTCCTATAAAAACTATTGTGATCCTACAAGTGATTTAACTTGATTCCAATCAGCCATAGCAAAATGTTCATCCTCTTCTAATTCTTTTATTGCATCTTCTTAATTAACAATCATATCAGTTAAATAGCGTTTATAGACTCTCTTTTTAATCACTGGATTTTCTATCATGTTTAAATAATTCACCAAAGCTTTACAAGTAGTTCCATTAACAAGATTAGTTAAAACAGCCATTCCAGCAGTGAAAAACACAGATAAATGTCTAAATCTTGGTGATAGATCTTGATCACATCCTACCATCAATGAAAGTGTTAAGCCATCTTTTCTTCATTTCTATATAATGAATCTAAGATCTAGGAGCCTTCAGTTGATGTATCGGCTTCACTTTTCATGACCAATGATTTAAATAAATAAATTATTCTTACAAATTGTTATATAAAATGTATAATCACTTTAATTATATTCACTTAATTTATAACAATTTTTTGATCTCTTCAGCTGAAAGTGTCTCTCTCTTTACTAATTCAGTAGCTAAGTCTTTAAGTTTAGATTCATTAAGTTTCAACAAATTTTTAACTCTATTATAAGATTCCTAAAGAATTATTAAATAAAAGATACCTCCAATATTTTTTTAACTTCCATATCAACCATATAATCGAATTAATCACTAGTTTTCACTCTATCACTTTAAATTGAAATTAATGATATTTTATCATCCATTCCTAATTGTTTAACAAACATATAAGCAAGATCAGTAGCCTTGGCCAAATCATTACTACATCCACTTGTAATATCATCTTTTCCCAAAAATAAATCTTCAGCTGCTCTACCACCCATAGCTACATCAATTGATGCAATGATTCCTTTTCTTGTATAATTTAGTTGATCCTTCTCAGGAAGCATTGAAGTCTAAATCGAATAAAGATTAATAAATACAAATCCTAAAGCTCCACCTCTTGGAAGAATTGTAACTTTGTGAAGAGGCATGGCTCCTTCAGTTAATAAACTGGTTAAGGCATGTCCACCTTCATGATAAGCAGTCATTAACTTCTCCTTATCACTAACATGCATATTCTTTCTACCTACTCCCATAGCTATTCTGTCTATTGCAAATTCAAAGTCTTCAGTTGTTGCTATCTATCTATCATATTTAATTGCATTTAAAATTGCTACATTCACCATATTCTAAATATCAGCTCCACTAAAGCCACTAGTCTGTCTTGCCAAATTAGATGGCAATACTTTTTAAATATCGTATTTAATCTTTTATAAATAATATGAAAATATCTATTCCCTACCTTTGACATCTGGTAATGGTACATGAATCATTTTATCAAATCTTCCTGGTCTCTTCAATGCTGGATCAAGTACCTTTAATTCTATACTATAATTATACCTATTCAAAATTGGTTGCCCCAATCACAATTACACTTTCACTTTATTTAAATCCATCCATTTCTGTCAAAATTTAGTTTATAGTATCTCTAGAATAACCAGGATCCTATGCTCTCCTTCTACCTCCAATACTATCTATTTCATCTATAAAGATTATTGCTGGAGCCTTTTGTCTTGCAGCTTTAAAAATTTCTCTAACACGTGAAGCTCCTACTCCAACAAACATTTCATCAAATTCTGATCCTGATTTATAAAAAAATGCACATCCTGCTTCTCCAGCCAAAGCTCTTGCTAATAATGTTTTACCTGTTCCTGGAGGACCTACAAGTAAAATTCCTTTTGGTAACTTTGCACCTGAATCAGTATATTTTTTAGGATGTTTTAAGAATTCCACTATTTCTTCTAATTCTTCTTTAAATTCATCTATTCCTAATACATCATTAAAACGTGTAGGAATATTTCTTTCTTCTTATATTGTTTAATTATTTCTAAGAATGTTATAAAAACGATCCATTCTACCAGCTCCTTGTTCAGGAACATCTTTTTAATTTTTTTCATTTTTAGATTTTGACTGACCAGGTTAGAAGAAATACATCATTTAATAAAGAATAGCTGCTGTTATCAATAATTAGATCATTCCAGGAAGCATTAATGATTTACGCTTGTCTCCATATTAATTAGACTTCAAATTTGTTACTGCAATACCATATTGTTCTTATAATTATTGATGTTATTTTTAAGTAGCATTTTCTCGAAAGTCATCTACTGTTAAAATATTAATTATACCTGTTTATTTAAATATACGAAGTGCCTCATCATATAATTACATCCGATTCAATTGTCTAATATACTTGAATGCCTTCTCAGGATTTTGAGGATCTGAAGCAAATTCTTTTTGCAATAAACGCAAGTTTTAAATATTTTATTAATTCACTAAGAATGTAGCATCAGGTTAGATAAAGGGTTGGAAGTCAAACTTATGATCTGGAATATTGACAGACTTTTTTATTAAATCATCCTTATTTAAACTAAATGGACTTTGTAAAAGTTTAAAAGAAGGCTCTAATATAGAAACATTACTGTCTTACTTCTGAAACTGAATAACGATTTGTACACAAATCCCCATAGAAACTACAATATGATTTATAATAATTACAGGTCCTTTCATTGCAATAAAAAGCACAAATAAATAATTATTAATCTATATCTAAAGTATTATAATCTAAACTTTCTTTTCTTTCATTTGATACTCTTCTAGAGTCTCAGTAATATCATTTATCAATTTTTAAATTTTTAATTCTATGAGGCTTTCAATTAAAAATAATGAATACTAATAATATTCAACTTCGAGATAAATATATATATTTAATATTATTAACCTATAAATCAATCTCTATAAATTTATGTATTTAATTATTTACTTTGATATGCCACTTCATTTTATATAGTTTTCCATTAATTGATATCTTAAAGAAATTTTTTATGAGAAATTTGTCATTTAAATAAATAACTTAATAATTAGTTAACTTAATTATAAATTAATAACAAATTTTACATAATGATATTATTTTTTAATGCCTGACAAAAAAGTAAATTGATTATCATCATGATATTAAATGATAATTACTTTTACTTAATTTAAGAATTCTTAAAATAATCATATTAAAATTTAATAATTAATAGTTATTCATTTAAGTGTTTAAAATACTGACATTTTTTCTTATTTCTTTTTGAAAGAAAATTGGTCTAGAACACTTTATTTTTTTTTTGAAATCAATCCTTTTTTAACATTTTATTTATTTTGTTCCTCCTCATATTGTGCAATCAATCCAAGATAATATTAAGTGCTATTTTATAATTCCTAAAACAAGATTAATTGATTGTTTACATCTTTTGATTCTGATCCTGAGTTTCTCTTCCTCTACAATTCAATCATATAGAGACAAGTTTTGTATTTCTATTTCCTTTTATCATATATCAACTTAACTTCAGATGCCACTGATGGAAATTCCTTTAGTAAATTTCTAAAATTTTCATAAGAACAAAAGAATCTATATATTAATATTTTGTTACAAATTGGTAGGTTCTTTAGCTATAGCAAAATATTCTCTATTGATATCTTCAAATGCTTCAATCTCACCAAAAAATGAAGCTTCTAATAATGTTATTAATGTATATTTATCATGAGTAACAAAATTTACTTTTCCTTTTTCAATGAAATAAATATCAGTTGGTGGATCATCCTCTCTATATATAATCTCTCCTGGATGAACTTCAAGAAAATTAAGATGTGGCAAAATTGTAGCTGTAAAATTATTATCTATTTTCAATAAGGATACACTATCTATCAAATATTTATAACAAATCATCAGTAATTCATTACGTAACTAGGATGGTAATTCTTATATTAATTTTTTTGGATCTAATGATGTATATACATTCTTTAGATAATTATTTCTATAATATTTATGTACTTTGCATTTCAAAGCATATGGTAATTTAACTCGAACAGAAAAATCATTAAATAAATGCATTCTTCTCTCAAAATCTACCCATTTTTTATCTACATTTTCCAAAATTGAAGACAACTTTCCTAATGTATATGAAAAGAATCCAGTCCCAAATATCATCCAAATTATAGCAAATACCCTTTCTTCAATTGTTGTTGCCTTTATATCTCCATAACCAACAGTAGTCAAAGTTTATAAGCTCCATTCAAAAGAAGCAATATATTAGTTATATAGAGATGAATCCTTCAAATTTGCTTAAGCAACCCATGTATTGCCTTCAAAGTTATTAAATTTGGCTACAAAGTACCAAAAGCAAGCAATTAAGTGATTTATTAATAAGATTTTACCTAACAAGATTAAACCTTTGATTATTCCTTCATTTATTCCAAAATAAGATAAGATTCTAGCTGTTTAAGTTTTATTCTTTATATTTAAATTAGTCTTTGACATTTTTAATAATCTTGCTAATCGATACAATCTTGGCAACCTAATTAATCTTAACAATTTATTATATCTTAAGGCTGGAGCATCTGTGTTGTCGTCTAAAAAATATGTTATTGGTAAAACTGCTATAAAATCTATTGTAAACCATCCTGTTAAATACTATTTTGCTATCATCTAATAATCATCAATAATTCTTTATTCTTCATCGAAATATGCACTAAAAAAATTTATTACAATGTCTGCAAAAAATAATACATCAAATATTATATCAATCCAAAACCAAAACCCTTCATTACCTTAATCGATCTAGAATCAATGCAATAATTTTTACAAAACAAACTTTAAATGGAGTAATAACTGCTGTAGCTAGTAATAAAAAGATTAATAGCATGTTCCAGAAAGTTTTAAAATTTTCATCTGGATAAAACATATAAGTTTTTTTCTCTTCCTAATTTGATTTAAAAACTTCATCTTCTATCATATTCATATGATCATCTTATCTAATGGCCCCAAAAATTTTCACTCTATTCTAAAATGATTTCATTATCCCAATAAAATAGGTTGCTAAAAAGACTCTTCTCCAAACTGTTACTAACTTTTATTTTTTTTCATGTCTCAATTTTCTATAAAACGTAAAACTCCTAATAAAATCAACTTATGCAAAGAACACATTAAATACTGTAATTTATTGATCCATCATTTTAAATATAATGTTTTTTAACACTTATAATATAAGAAAGATTTCACTAAATAAATTCAATGTTAGCTAAGAAACAAATAGATATTAATTCACAATTATCTCTAATAAAACCATAATGATTCTTTTTGACATAAACAACTAATAAAAAATTTTAGTTCACAAAAAATATATATTATGACTTTACATATTTGTTTGAAATTATCATTCTATTATTATGGTATTAAATTTACAAGTTAATATATTTATATATCTAAATCATATATATCTATTTATATTATCTATAAATTATATTCTAATATTATTCGATTAAACTTTATATCATTATAACTATTTATAAATTTGAGTAAAATGATTATTTTTCTAATCAAAATGGAGATTTTATAAAATATTAAAATTTATATTTAAAATCATTTGTAGATTGACAATTTGCTTCAAGCATTCACTAATATATTATAATTTAATCATATACAAATAGAGTTAAATTTTAATTATATATTTGTATATATATCTAAAAGAATTTATATTTTTCGTTTCAATTGATATTTGCTTAACAATAATCTTTAAATTATGAAATATTAAAATCTAAATAATTTGTATATTCACATTGAATTAAATCCAAGCAAAAATGTTTTTATTAATTATAATAATATTTTATAAATGGGAGCTAACAGCTCAAAATAAAATTTTGAAATATTAAATGAATACAATTTTCTTAATGTAGCTTAAGATGATGGATATGGATAAATTCAATTATTTAGTAATAAGATAAAACGAACTGATTAAATGGCACTTATAAAATTTTATGATCAATCAGATATTGAAAAGAGGGCTAACATTATTCAATTGAGGTAAATAATTATATTATGTAGAAAATAATAAAATAATCAATACTTTACCAAAATATTGGATTATTAAGTACAAACAACTGAGGATTTATGCAGTAATATAAATCTTTTGCATGTTGGGTTAGAATATTTAGAAAAAAGTTTATAAGATGACATCTTAAATCGAAGAGCTAATGATAGAACGTATTAAATTATAAAATATTCTTTATAGTTATAATGAAGGAGAACTTTGGTATTTGGCATAAACTATTCTTTCTGGATTAAAAGATCTTTAAATGAATAATCTTTAATATCATGACTTGCATCCAAATAATATTAGAATCAAACTAAATGGTGAAGTTAAACTATTGGAATTATGTTGTTTAGCTAATCAATAAAGTGCCTATCAAAAAGTCTTTACACAATTAAGGGAAGTTGAATATCTTTCCCCTGAGCAATTGTATGTATTAGAAAATGAACGTTAAAATGTAATTATCATTATCTAGAGTTTAAGGATAAATAAGAATATTCTATAGAAAAATAAAATGTATTTATACTTGGTGTTATTTTCTTGATTTGCATAACTAATATGGATGTGAAAAAATACTATAATAATTTTACTTTTAATTCTGAATTAGCCAATTAAAAATTGAACAGTGCATTTGAAAAGTACAATTACTCTGATCCAATGAAACATTTATTAAAAGATTTATTACAACTCAACACATATCATAGACCTACATATCTTGAAATCTTAGATAAAATATCTCATGTAGATTCTAGTAGAATATCTCCTAATTTATATGCATTAAATATGCAAGATTAAGCTATTAAATCAACATTACATTTTAAGAGTTAAACTAATTTCTCATAAGAATAAATTATAGAAAGTTAACCTCAATCACTTTATGAGTAACATAACCTTATAAATGATTCTTTTAACAGATAAGTTACATCTAATTTCTAAGCAAATTTAGAATCTGCACCTATTAATTTGTAAAACAATAATAATTTTGAAATTGCTACTTAATCAAAATATGAGTCTAATTATTAATAAGTTTAATTAACTTCTTAAGCAGGTTTGGATAAAATTAGATAATTAAAAGAAAGATTTCAAGTAATAAAAGGAGAAACTGTTTAATAATAATAAGCAGCCACTGTTCCTACTACCTTTACTCATTAAGATGAAAGTGATACATATAGAATATCAAATTAAAATTTTCAAAATCCATATCAACCAAATTTTTTAGAAATGGACCCTGTCATATAAAGAGCTCTTTAAAAGAGTAGAGAAATTATGTCTAAATGCAATCCTTATTAAACTGCTGATCCTTATGTTCCAATTTTACCATAATCAAACTCTTCATTTTTAGCTTAACCTGGAATGCCATCCAATATTCAACCAATATAGAATATATCATTAGGAAATTCTTAACTAAATTAATATTTTCAAACTTCGTAATAAAATCCTTAATTCCAATCACAATTTAACTAATATAACTAAATCAATTAAGTATAAGCTCCAATATAATAATTATAATAATCACAATTTTAAAAATAACCAACATTTTCATAACCATTCTCTCCATACCTTTAATAGAATGAACAAATATCGCCTTTAAAATAACCAGCCATTTCCTAATATATTTAATAATAACCCATAACACCTCCATCATTTAACTAATAATAATCTATGTAAATTATTTATTTTAAACTAGGTACCAACCATATGTTAGGAATGATAGATTTTCATGATTTGGAAAAATATTACCTGAAAAAATAGATTATTTATTAGAATATATTAAATTTTTATCATATATATATATATATTTGAAACAATCTTACAGGATCAATAATTTCTAATTATTGTCTTGTATTTTTAAAGAATATTAAAATTATTCCCTCTTCTAAGACTATTTTCAGCGGTTTTATTTTCCTGTTGTTCTACCACTGCCTCTACGTATTTACCAAAATTATAATCCTTATTTTTAAGACTCTTATCCACTTCAGTAGATTCACTAGTATTGACTTCAGAGCTCCTTTCTGCCATACAAAATAAAGTCTTTGTATTTCTTCGAAACTCTTTCATCGCCAATTCTAAGTCATCTAAAATACATTCCTTAGAAACTATAGAGAATCCATTATTATCTTATATTTAGAGAAACTTTTAGAATTGACAAGTGAATTTTGCAGGCTCTACAATAATAACAAAAAAAAATACATTAAACTTAAATCTTTTCATAAGCAACTTATTTTGGCTAAATTTCTTCTTGAATTGATGGTTTGTCTTGCAAATTATCTTTTTTTATTCGTGAAAGTACATCAGTTTAATTGCTCAAATACCTTCTGTGATCTTTTTTATTTTTTAAAAACTCATACATCCTTTATTTTAGATAGACCCGGAAACTTAGTTTAATGGGATTGCGAGTGCTTTTGGGTCTTGGGGATTAGATGCTGGTTCTGTAATAATTGGTTGTGGAGTAGCTTTTTTTTCGGTTTTAGGTTAGAATTTAAGTTTTTCAATAAATTCTAAAATATTTTAAGGTGTTTTTGTCTAATCTTCAAGTATATTAGTAAAGTTTTTGAAATGGCTGTGTACAATAAGTAAAGGATCTATAATTAAAGGAAGCATTTGTTTTAAAAAGTCAACAAAGGCTGCCCTTAAAAGCATTTATTCAGACATAAATAAAATTAATTACTTAACAAATCTCTTTTATTACTTAACTTTCATTATAAAAGAAAAAATAAAATACAATCAGTAATTTATTATATGAAAAATAATCCTTTAAGAATAACTAATGTTCATATATTCTGTTAAATAATTTTATACTTTCATATGAAACATTAAATTCACTTATCATTATCTATTATTTAATATGCCATGATTATTAAGACTTTATTTAATAAAATTTAAATTGAAACATTATATAAAAATAAAGAAATTGATATTTGCAAGAATAATCTCAATTTAAAAAAATAATATCTAAAATTTTTTTACAAGCTTCTTTTTCTTCTAAAATAATTAANATTTGGGAACGTAAAAATTGTGTCAACTTTTATAATGAAATGATGATTGAAGTACATGCACGTAACACTCTCTAAGAGGAAAGTAATCATCTTACTACAAAGGTTGACAATAAAAGTAAAGAAGCTAATAGTACAATAATGTTCACTAGAGTATATATGCTTTGCATTTTGATATCAGCCAATGATAGTGGACTTTTATTTTTGATGGTAAATTATTTATAATATTAAAGAAATAACTTAAAATAAGTTAAAAGCTATTATAACTGTTCCAAACAAATGAAGATTTTAGACAATTATTTTAAGGAATTTATTAATATTTAGTCTCAGAAGAATTAGAGCTTTGAAGTATTTTTTTATGAATAAATATTATTGAATGACAAAAAAATATTTATTTTTGAAACAATTATTTGAAAAATCACTCTGTAACAAATGTCACTTATGTGATTTCAAGTAGACTCTCCCTTAAAATAGGAAAAGCTTAACTAAAGTGTTTATCTTTGTATAAGTATTCTATAATTTCTGATGCTTCATGTAGTAATTACAACTTGCATTATTAACATGTAACTATATATAGTTTTTGCTTTATTTCAAATAAAGTTTAAATACGGTCTTGCAAGTATCCACCTAAAGTGTGAGTATCTCCAACCAATTCTAAATATAGAGACAATCGTTAGCAAGTGCAATCTAATTTTTGAGATGAAAATCTTTCTTTAATCTTCATAATCTTGCTTTATCTTCTTTGTCTAGAAGTTTGACAAGTTCCCATTAAATTTCTTGTTTTAACTTTTTTTCTATAGATTAAATTTATTTATCACTACCAAATAATAAATAGGGTTTTTTAATTTAGTTCAACTTTTTTTCTAGTCAGATAATCTAATTCTTCTACTAGTAGAAGAGTAACAGCCTTTAACTACTGATATATAAAATGAACATCGTATTGTTTTTGTCCACTGGATATGTAGAGGTCTTGATGTTATTTACTTTTTTCTAAGTGAATTATGTGTCAATCCAATATTTCTATCGTGTTAGAAGGAATTCCTAGAAAGAGAAGTGATTTTGCAAAGCAAAATTTTATAAGAGTTTCTATATTCTAAGTGAGAACTTAAGGCAGGCTTCCTCAACAGATAATGGTATTATAGAAATAGGATTAAATTGCCAATATTATAGTCTTAATTAGTTTTAGCTAAAACTCAAATCCATTCACAATCAAATCAAAGCAAATTTTACTAAATCTTCAAAAGAAAGAATTAGAAAGAAAATTTTTTCTGATGTTAAATAATTTTCCACTTTTTTCTGAATTCTAATATATTACTCTGATAACATACTAATGAGTTAAACTAAATTTCAACTTAGAGATTATCTATCATAGAAATAACTTCTTAATTTATAATACTAATTAATTTTAAGATTTTAATTCTATAGATTATAAAATAAAAGCTTCTTAGTTAGCTTGTCCTCACAAATGTGGATTCTTCTAAAATAATTTAATAATAATTTAATAATAATTTAATAATAATTAATAATAATAAATAATAAAATAGAAGGGGTAAGATAATAATAATGAATATTAATAATAAAATAGGTATATATATATATATATATATATAAAATATCATTTTTTTTTAATTTCTTTTTTTTCAACAGATTTAATAACTCCAACTGCAACAGTTTATTTCATATCTCTTACAGCAAATCTTCCAAGAGGTGGATATTCAGAAAAGATTTCAACACAAATTGATTTTGTTGGTATTAATTTAATAATTGCAGAATCTCCTGATTTAATAAATTTAGGTTATTCTTCAATTAATTTTCCTGTTCTTTTATCAATTTTAGATAATATTTAATCAAATTTACATGCAACATGTGCTGTATGACAATCTAAAACAGGACAATATCCATTTTAAATTTAACCAGGATGATTAATTATAATTACTTAAGCATTAAATGAATTACATTCTTTTGCTGGATCATTCTTTATATCAGAAGCTACATATCCTCTTTTCAAATCTTTAACTGATACACCTTTTACATTAAAACCTACATTATCTCCTGGTATTGCTTAAGGATGATCTTAATGATGCATTTCTATTGATTTTACTTCAGATGTTATTCCAGATGGAGCAAATTAAATTATCATACCTTTTGCTAATACTCCAGTTTCTACTCTTCCTACTGGAACAGTTCCAATACCACCTATTTTATATACATCTTATAATGGAAGTCTAAGTGGCTTATCTGTTTATCTCTTTGGAGGTGTTACTGCATCTAATGCTTCAAGAAGAGTTGGTCCATTATACCATTATAAATTAATTGATTTCTCTAACATATTATCTCCATTCCATCCAGAAATAGGAATAAATGGAATATTATCTGTATTGTATCCTACTTTCTTTAAATAAATTGTCATCTCTTTAACTATTTCTTCATATCTTCCTTTAGAATAATTTACTGATCTCTCATCCATCTTATTTATTGCACATATCAATTATCTAACTCCTAATGTATAAGCTAATAAAATATGTTCTTTAGTTTAACCATTTTGAGAAATACCAGCTTCAAATTCACCTGCTGGAGATGCAATCATTAATAATGCTATATCTGCTTATGTTGTTCCTGTTATCATATTTTTAATAAAATCTCTATGTCCTGGGGCATCAATTACTGTATAATTATATTTATTTGTTTCAAATTTCCATAATGAAATATCTATTGTAATTCCTCTTTCTCTTTCATCTTTAAGATTATCTAATACCCAAGCATATTTAAATGATCCTTTTCCAATTTTAGTTGCATCTTCTTCAAATTTCTTTATAGTTCTTTCATCTATTCCACCTAACTTATAAATCAGATGTCCTGTTGTTGTTGACTTTCCTGAATCAACATGTCCAATAACTACTAAATTTACATGAACTTTATCTTTTGGCATTTGTTTTTATTAATGACTTTACCTAAAAAAAGTTAATCACTTAAAAATATATAGAAAAATTTTAATGACTATATTAATTAATTTTATAAACTATTTAAACTATATTATTAAATAATCAACTTTTATTAAATTTTTTCTATTTCATACTCTTTTTTTATTAAAACTAAACTAATTTATTACTTTAAATCTTTCAAAATACAAATCTTATATTTATATTTATTGTATACATTCTAAAAATACATTTTAGATAAATAATTGAATTGGTTTCTAAATTTTCTTAATGAATCAATATTAAATATAAATATAAGATTTGTATTTTGAAAGATTTAAAGTAATAAATTAGTTTAGTTTTAATAAAAAAAGAGTATGAAATAGAAAAAATTTAATAAAAGTTGATTATTTAATAATATAGTTTAAATAGTTTATAAAATTAATTAATATAGTCATTAAAATTTTTCTATATATTTTTAAGTGATTAACTTTTTTTAGGTAAAGTCATTAATAAAAACAAATGCCAAAAGATAAAGTTCATGTAAATTTAGTAGTTATTGGACATGTTGATTCAGGAAAGTCAACAACAACAGGACATCTGATTTATAAGTTAGGTGGAATAGATGAAAGAACTATAAAGAAATTTGAAGAAGATGCAACTAAAATTGGAAAAGGATCATTTAAATATGCTTGGGTATTAGATAATCTTAAAGATGAAAGAGAAAGAGGAATTACAATAGATATTTCATTATGGAAATTTGAAACAAATAAATATAATTATACAGTAATTGATGCCCCAGGACATAGAGATTTTATTAAAAATATGATAACAGGAACAACATAAGCAGATATAGCATTATTAATGATTGCATCTCCAGCAGGTGAATTTGAAGCTGGTATTTCTCAAAATGGTTAAACTAAAGAACATATTTTATTAGCTTATACATTAGGAGTTAGATAATTGATATGTGCAATAAATAAGATGGATGAGAGATCAGTAAATTATTCTAAAGGAAGATATGAAGAAATAGTTAAAGAGATGACAATTTATTTAAAGAAAGTAGGATACAATACAGATAATATTCCATTTATTCCTATTTCTGGATGGAATGGAGATAATATGTTAGAGAAATCAATTAATTTATAATGGTATAATGGACCAACTCTTCTTGAAGCATTAGATGCAGTAACACCTCCAAAGAGATAAACAGATAAGCCACTTAGACTTCCATTATAAGATGTATATAAAATAGGTGGTATTGGAACTGTTCCAGTAGGAAGAGTAGAAACTGGAGTATTAGCAAAAGGTATGATAATTTAATTTGCTCCATCTGGAATAACATCTGAAGTAAAATCAATAGAAATGCATCATTAAGATCATCCTTAAGCAATACCAGGAGATAATGTAGGTTTTAATGTAAAAGGTGTATCAGTTAAAGATTTGAAAAGAGGATATGTAGCTTCTGATATAAAGAATGATCCAGCAAAAGAATGTAATTCATTTAATGCTTAAGTAATTATAATTAATCATCCTGGTTAAATTTAAAATGGATATTGTCCTGTTTTAGATTGTCATACAGCACATGTTGCATGTAAATTTGATTAAATATTATCTAAAATTGATAAAAGAACAGGAAAATTAATTGAAGAATAACCTAAATTTATTAAATCAGGAGATTCTGCAATTATTAAATTAATACCAACAAAATCAATTTGTGTTGAAATCTTTTCTGAATATCCACCTCTTGGAAGATTTGCTGTAAGAGATATGAAATAAACTGTTGCAGTTGGAGTTATTAAATCTGTTGAAAAAAAAGAAATTAAAAAAAAATGATATTTTATATATATATATATATATATATACCTATTTTATTATTAATATTCATTATTATTATCTTACCCCTTCTATTTTATTATTTATTATTATTAATTATTATTAAATTATTATTAAATTATTATTAAATTATTTTAGAAGAATCCACATTTGTGAGGACAAGCTAACTAAGAAGCTTTTATTTTATAATCTATAGAATTAAAATCTTAAAATTAATTAGTATTATAAATTAAGAAGTTATTTCTATGATAGATAATCTCTAAGTTGAAATTTAGTTTAACTCATTAGTATGTTATCAGAGTAATATATTAGAATTCAGAAAAAAGTGGAAAATTATTTAACATCAGAAAAAATTTTCTTTCTAATTCTTTCTTTTGAAGATTTAGTAAAATTTGCTTTGATTTGATTGTGAATGGATTTGAGTTTTAGCTAAAACTAATTAAGACTATAATATTGGCAATTTAATCCTATTTCTATAATACCATTATCTGTTGAGGAAGCCTGCCTTAAGTTCTCACTTAGAATATAGAAACTCTTATAAAATTTTGCTTTGCAAAATCACTTCTCTTTCTAGGAATTCCTTCTAACACGATAGAAATATTGGATTGACACATAATTCACTTAGAAAAAAGTAAATAACATCAAGACCTCTACATATCCAGTGGACAAAAACAATACGATGTTCATTTTATATATCAGTAGTTAAAGGCTGTTACTCTTCTACTAGTAGAAGAATTAGATTATCTGACTAGAAAAAAAGTTGAACTAAATTAAAAAACCCTATTTATTATTTGGTAGTGATAAATAAATTTAATCTATAGAAAAAAAGTTAAAACAAGAAATTTAATGGGAACTTGTCAAACTTCTAGACAAAGAAGATAAAGCAAGATTATGAAGATTAAAGAAAGATTTTCATCTCAAAAATTAGATTGCACTTGCTAACGATTGTCTCTATATTTAGAATTGGTTGGAGATACTCACACTTTAGGTGGATACTTGCAAGACCGTATTTAAACTTTATTTGAAATAAAGCAAAAACTATATATAGTTACATGTTAATAATGCAAGTTGTAATTACTACATGAAGCATCAGAAATTATAGAATACTTATACAAAGATAAACACTTTAGTTAAGCTTTTCCTATTTTAAGGGAGAGTCTACTTGAAATCACATAAGTGACATTTGTTACAGAGTGATTTTTCAAATAATTGTTTCAAAAATAAATATTTTTTTGTCATTCAATAATATTTATTCATAAAAAAATACTTCAAAGCTCTAATTCTTCTGAGACTAAATATTAATAAATTCCTTAAAATAATTGTCTAAAATCTTCATTTGTTTGGAACAGTTATAATAGCTTTTAACTTATTTTAAGTTATTTCTTTAATATTATAAATAATTTACCATCAAAAATAAAAGTCCACTATCATTGGCTGATATCAAAATGCAAAGCATATATACTCTAGTGAACATTATTGTACTATTAGCTTCTTTACTTTTATTGTCAACCTTTGTAGTAAGATGATTACTTTCCTCTTAGAGAGTGTTACGTGCATGTACTTCAATCATCATTTCATTATAAAAGTTGACACAATTTTTACGTTCCCAAATGATTGCAGTAAAATAAATTAATGCTTCATGTCGATAGGGCATCCAATGTATAAATGGAACATATGAATGTGTTTTGACAATTTTTTAAACTTCAAAAGATTTTGTGTTATTTAGAAGATAACTGAAAATCCCTTTAATAAATCCTGCATTTATTAATTACTCTTACAATCCATGACTCTAACATTTACCGATAGCCTCAAATAAAGAAGTTCTAACCATAGATTCATCTACTTAATTTTTTATAATAAGAGTTTCTTCTAAAGATGGGCCTACAACTCTCTCAAAAATTATCCATTATTTAAAAGTTAGGTTTGTATACCAAGTTCCAATATTTAAAAATGTTAATAGTTACAAATATTAGTTTATATTAGAATCTATAATAGCAGTTAAACATTTTAATAAATTAAGTGCACATTAAATCAATTTATTAGAAGAATAAGGTCTTAATTCTAATTTGACTGCATATTCTAATTAAAGTTAAGATTATGAATTAGGAGGTTCTTGCAATCTTTTACTAACATTTTTTATTTGTGATTAATTGATTTGTGATTTTACTATTTATGTTTATGATAATTAATTATTGACAGTAATTTATGACTATTATAATGATTAGTTTTGAATAGCAATACTAACTTATTAAGAATGTTTAATAGATTATAATTGTGATTAGAATTATGATTAAGATTATGATTATTACTATTATTAATTTAAGATCACAGATTTATCAGTTGGTAATTTAAAAGTTACATTTTTATTTATTTTAGACTCTTAAATTTGTTATTTTTATTATAAAGATTCAACAAATTTTTAGTTTTTTTCTTATTCTTCTTATTTTAATCTATTAATTTCTTCTATTCTCATTCGTCTTTCTTCATTTACTCTATCCCATTCTATATGGAATTCATAAATAAAATCAACAGTATCTCTTAACCATATTATAGAATTTTTAGTACTTTACATGTCTTCTATATCAAAAATTAATAGTGGTGAAATGAGAGTAATGTACATTATAAAATCTGCAAGAGATTATAATAAATCACAACATTCTTAATGTAATTGACCAAAAGTTAATAAATCATTAAAGATGCTCATAATCATTTAAAATGCATTGCTTATAAATCTTCTCTCTTCTTGATTACTTAATAATTTATCTTTACTTGTATATACAACATAAGCTTATATTTATTTAAGTGCTTGTTTAATCTATCCAAATATAGGTGGTATTTATTTTTTTGTTAAACTTCTTCCATTCATTAAGATGGATACTTAATCTCTAATCTCTTAAGTAATAACTGATTTTTATTCCTGCCATTAATTACTAAGAGATTTAGACATTTTAACAAATTTATCAGATGATGATTTTTCAGGAACTAACAAATTATGTGTTTATAACATAATTCTAACTTTGCTAGAATGTATTAAATCAATAGTATTAGGTAATGCCATAGTTATAATTTCATCATAAAGTTTTAAACTAAGTTAAAGATTATTTGATTTTTTATGTTCTGCTTATAAAGCCATAGGTCTAAACATCTCAACAAGTAATTATTAAGTAGATCCACCTAATGCATATTTTCCAACTTTTGGCCATTATAATAAATTTGAAATTATTTTATATACTAAATCAGGATCAGTCTTAATATCAACAAAGAGACCTTAATAAATTGTAGGCAATGCAAAGATTTATTCAGCAACATATAAATTTAATTATTGAATTTTATTTGATTCAGATTAGTTTTATTCAGTTGGTTGGAATGATAAAAATCTTTCATTAGATAATTTGTTTTTATTGGTTAGAATATGACTAATAATAGAAAGATTTCTAAGTAAATGAACAGCATTATTTTATTAATATTATTAGACTAAACCTTAATTAGAATGTTCAATTCTCAAACTTGTAGGAACTTCATTACGGAATGCAATAGTAATATGTGCAAACATTTATAGAACACTAGTTCTAAATTCTTGATCAGTAACTAATTAAATCAAAAGATTAGTAATTCTACTATCAACTAACACCTATAATTTACTAATTTTATTTGATTTGATTAGAGAAGACACATAATTAAGTGCAATCTTAACAGAAGATTTACTAAAAGATCCATTTAAATAATTAGCAATTTAAAGATGTGAATCTGAAACTGACATAACTTCACTATAATATTCAGATGATCTAGCAATTGTATTATACTTAACAGGAGCCACATTGACAGCAAATTTATTCATATCAAATGCTGATACCTATTTTTCAGTGCATAATTGAATATAATTTCTAATAGCAACCATATTACCACTACCTACTCCACTTTCGCTTATCATATCTTTATAAATTGGAGCAACTATTTTATAAATGCTTGGAGTCCAATAAGAATAAAAGTGATTCTTATCCTTAAATTAATGATCTAATTCATCATCTCTAGTTGAAAAGAAACCTGTCTCTGGAGCCATAAACATTTTATCACTTATTAATCTATATGGTTCTCCTAATGTAAATTTTACTAAAGTGGTTATAATAGCTTCAACATGTTAACTAGCTGGAGATTCCTATGATTATAAATGTTATTAAAGTTCAATAAATATTTATGAAAATTATTGAACTAATTAAGGTAAATCATATTTATAATTAAGATGTAAAACTATGAAATTTAAGATGTCTAAAACTCTACTATGGAATAGATAGCTTATTAAATCAAGTTTCTATTCATCCATAATGCTGAATAAGATTGTTTAATTGAACAATTTAATTATTTATACAATTGATTCAATTTCAACAGGCTTATTCTTTACTATTGCTAATGCAATTTATCTAGAAGGTTAATAAATTTGATTTTCAAAAATAATTCTAGGGTTTTTATAATTAATAATTGGTCTTGCAATCTACCTTGCATTTTGTAAATCAACATTCAAGATATTACACTTTTAAATTGATTATAATTAAGGTCTATTATGTGGTTCATATTATAAACAAGAACACATTAAATCAATCAATTCTGAAATTTAATTAAGCATAGATTCATCAGTATGAACATTCTTAAATAAATGCTTTATATATGCACCTAATGATTTTTGATCTAATTATAATAGAATTTATTAGGTAATTGATTAATTTTTCATATCTATAATATCAGCTAATTCCTTTCTTAAATTCTAAAATACTTCTTTTTACAATAAATCTCCTTATTCATAATCAGAAGGTTCAGTTAATTAAAGATATTTATCTCCTTAATAACAACCAGAATTGCTAATAATCTATGGTTTGTGTCCAAACAATAATTCAAATATAATGACACCAAAAGACCATGTATCAGCCATATTAGTGATTTCTTAAATTGATTTACTATAGAATTCAGGAGCCAATGCAAGATCTTTATATTCTTATTATAGAACACTTTCAACCAAAAGTTTAATATCTATTCCAGATTGAAATTTATTAATATTGACTGATTAAATACCTGTCAATTCACTTAAATGAACTTCATCATTAAAAATATATAATATTTCAGTTCTCATTAATGGAAATGCATAACCATAATTTTAAATATCACACATAAGAGATAAGATCTAACCTAACCATAATTTAGCTACATAGATCATTTATCCACTTAAAACTAATTGAGGAATTTTTAATAATCCTCCTGTTTATTAACATATAGTATTTAAGTTGGTACCTTCAAATTATACAAATGCATGTACTTCAGTTCCCATATTATTCTTTTTTTCACAGACTCCATAGAGTTTAGATGTTTAATTTAGAATAGACTAAAATCTTAAGACTTCCATTATATGTTATCTCAACATTACTCCATCATAACATACTGTTTATAAAATGGGAACTGTCCATACACTTACAATAACAGGGGCATTATTCGCAGCTATTCTGCCTAACATATAATACATTTGTTTTCCTTCTATTTATGGAATATGAATAGGTAAAAATTAAGTTTCTGGAATAGGTGTAAGGAATACACTTGTTAATGATAATTACATCTGAGACATTTTTGTTCTTTCAGATCGAATAGTTAAATGTGGTTATATATATTAAGCTTGAAATTATTGATTTAACAAATTGAACACTCCAGCTTAAATTAATTGGATATCATTTAAAATATAATGCATTATTTATTAGATTTTTAAATATATGTTATTAACATTAATTTGTAAGGATATTTACATTAATCCACTATCATCTTATTATTTGATAGATTCAATATTTTAATTAAATAATTCTCTTATTTTTTTAATTCCATTCAAAACTAATTCAAATCCATTAAATCTATAGAATATATTTTTCAATAATTATTTATCAATTAAATCATGATCAACAAAATTTTATTTTTAAGTACCCAGAATTCTTAAAATTAAATTTTTTTATATCATTCCTTATTATGTAAATAAATTAGCCAATCTCTAAAATTCATTATCATTAAATGGATGTCTTTCTCCTTCTAAAGATATCAATCTATAAAATTCATTTACTGTCATTTAATCATTATAATTCAAATCTCCAAATTCAAGAGTAAAGAACTTTTACAATAATTTATTATAAACATTGACCTATTATGCTTCATCTTTAATTATCTAATAGCCTTATTGTTCAATTACAGATAATAATTCAGTATAATGTAAAATATTGCCATCAGATTTAAAATCAAATAATTTTATTAATGCTCTTACTTAATCAATACTCAAACAAACACCTATATTATTCAATAATAATTAAAATTCTTAAGCACTCAAATAACCTTTCTCTTAAAATACTGATTTCATAAGTGACATTTAATTTTAATTCAAAATGGCACATATATGTTCAATAATTTCCATTTCATATTATCCTTTTAATGTATTTTATTATACTCTTTACTCTTAAAATTTTAATACAACACTTTATTCAAGAGGCATTTCTTCAATAATTTATTCTTATTTTCCTTCTTTACCTTACAATTTAGATCCTACTTATAAATCTTCATTGATATTTATTAAACATTCATATATTTTCTCTAAATCTAATTAATCTTATTTCAATCCAAATGATTTAATCATTAGGGCTATATCTTATTCTTTATGTTTAGGAACTAAATGGAAGAAATCCTATAAAGATATAGTTATTTATGGAACTAAACCATCAAATCCTGTACCTATTTATTCTAATTATACAATATCATGTAATAAAGATGGCTCAAATACTCTTGTAAAAAAAGCATTTACTTCTATTGAATTATCATTTAAAGACCCTCCTATATATATCAATTTAATTAAATTTCCAACTTTTATTAATTAATCCTCTTATGTTAAGTAAGAACTCAATGCTCTAATTTAAGTAAGTTAAATTTAAGGATCAATCATATGGATTGCTTATTCTAATTCTTCACTTTATATCCATCCAGATTTATTAAGATTCATCAAATTGTATAATTATTATTTAGACAATTAATTCTTGATAGCAAAACGATACAAATTCATTAAAACTTCTAATACAGGTTAACTCAATTATGTTCCTGGTCCTTCTTATTCACTCATTAACATTAAGAATTCTAAATCACTCATTTCATCTCCACCATGTTATTCAAATATAAGTTTAATTTTCTTATAATTAAGTTTAAGTTTCAAAGGATTAAATCCAAGACTTAACATCATATGAATGAATTCTCTAATAAAGATTCTTTTTTATCCAAAGTATTTGACTGCACAACTAACTCTAATATTTAATCTACGTAACATATCTTAAAATAATTCTAAACATTCTTTAAAGAATACATTAGCTTTTGATTAATTATCTTCTAACATATAACATGCAAAATCTCCCCATGTTGGTTTTTAGACTTAAGAACTATCACTAATAGCTTCCATTAATAAATCAATCTATGGTTCATTCAAAATACAAAATTAATTAATAAATTCAGCCAATTCTATTTTATCTAATTATTTATCGTATCTAATCTTTTTACTTTAAATAGTAGCAACTATATTTTTAATTCCTTTTCTTAATATTTCATTGACTTCTGCTTTTTTAGTATGATCTAAAGTTTTGACTCTTGCTTAAGTTTATGATCTTCTTAATAAAGATTCAATTTCAGTTGATTTAACAATATTTCTTTATTCAGTATCAACAGTATTAAAGAATAATTTGAGTATATCAGAAGTTGTATTTACATCTAAATAATTTAAAAAAGTATATAAATTTTAATAAGTAATTTGATTAATTGAACCTAAACCATGTTATGTATATATTTTGCTAAATTAATTAGGTTATCCTTTTAATTATTTAATAATGGCATGACAAAATTATAATAATTTTTCACTTGTTAATTATTCTTTTAAATTAGATAAATTAGAATAATCTAATTATTTTTATTCTAATTCTTTATTTGTAATAGTCTATTTTTCAAATGAATTTACTATAACACTGATATGTTAAGAAGGGATTTATTTTTTTGTTAAGAATTATTTCAATTAATCTAAAGTCATTGTATCTGGAAATTCTCTAGCTTTCACATTTACTAAACTACTAAAAGCTTAATGAATAATTTCTATTTATCTTTCTCCTTACATAGCTTAAGCAAATTCTTTATAAGTTAAAATCTTATATTTTTATTTCAATTTACTATAATATAATTATAATTCTTCTATTGAAATATCTAATTTATATTTTTAATGACAACGCTTTAAACTTTTATATGTAATTTAATCTCCATCAGCTAATTTAATAAAGGATTCATTTAAATTTCCTAATTTCTTAATGGCTAGTATAAATACATCTTAATGTTCTTATTCTTACCATTAAATACATCCTGTTTATAAAAATGCTTTCAAAAAATTTTAAAATGGAACTCTCATATCTACTTTTTCAAAATCTAACCAAATATGATCCATTTTTTATAATTACAATTATATAAACCCATATTTAAATTCATCTTCAGTAATAGCATAATCTTAATGTGAATCACAAACTGCAAAAAATTCAAATATTTATAAATGTGATTCTTAAAGTTTTTCATAAAATTATTTAACTTAAGATTTTGCTATTTTTTATTAAGATAAAAATTAAAGAAATTCTTTAATATTGTATTTGATCATTTTTTATTCAAACATTGGATGTTTTTTAGTCTTATCCATTAAATAATTATTCAATAAACAAAAAAGACTTTACAAAGATATATGAATATTCATTCTATTGAATAATTATTGGATTTATTAAATTGTTAATTCTTAATTAGTTCCACTTTATTCTATCTCATACATAACATCAATAGTTGAATCATTTAATACTTATAATCCTGATCTCAATAGTAATTATAAATCATTAAATCCATATAGTCTAAATGCTTCTAAAAATTATGAAATAGTTAATGTTTATGTTTCATTCTAAAATAATTATTTAAATAATGCTTTTGCTTCCCAACTAGACATGAATTATTATAATTAGTCTAATAATTCTGATTATTTCACTTCTACTCTTCCAATCTAAGTGAAAAAGTTATACAAAGTTAATTATTATCTATATAATCCCATAAATAATTTTTGAATGATGATATCAATATAAAATGATATATCATCATGATTATCAAATAAACCTATAAAATCCATTACATTTATTGGTTCTCTAAATTTTTAATATAAATTATGTTTCTCTTTCATTGTCCATACATAAGGTAAGGAATCTAATAATTTTTTAAATTCACTTCTACTTAATTAACCATTTGCATTTACTATAATATTTTAATTTAATAATATTTTAAGAACAGTACTATTCAAATTTTTCAATGCTTATTAAATCTTCTTTGATAATACTGAAATTTAATCATCTATTGGTTCTTATGGTACTTTTTCTGTTCCATTAAATCTATTTTTACTTACTTGTTCTTTAACTTTAGATTTAACAATTTATGGCAAAGATTCAGTAAATAAAATAGGATTAACAAAATATTAAGATAACTCTGCTTAATTCAATCTTATCTCTTTTGTCAATTATTATGCTTCTTCTAAGGTAGTTCTACATCCAACACAAGCAAATCTTATTATTTATTATTATTCAGATGGTTCATATTAATTAAATAATCTCTTAAAGTCAATAGATTTCATCAAATCTTTAGATTATTACCATTTTCCTAATTTGTTTATTGTTGAAATACTAATTTAAGATCCAGCAATTTCCCAAATGACAGGATCATAAACAATAGCTGTATTTTTACTTGCAATAGTATAATATTTGAGTAGATTAGTATGTGTAATATCTTCACCTAAAAATTATGTTAAATCATTAATTTCAGTTTAAGTAAGTTATAATTAAATTTATTCTAATAATTAAAGAAATTATGGTTAAGTTAAAAAGTCTTAATTATCATAATTATAGAATCTCTTTAATACAAATCCAAGATTAATTCCACTTTTATTAACTGCATAAGCAAATCGTATAAATAATTGATTTAAATTATTTTATTTATCTTAATTACTTGCAATTTATTCAAATTCTACATATTCTTTAAAGAATCTATTATAATTAAGATTATCTTCTTAAGTTAATGTTTTCCATTCTAATTAAAAATTAATTAATAAACTTTATTCAACTTGTATATTATATGCTATAACATTACAAAATATAGGCAATTCTATAAATCCATTTTTATCATTATCTAATTAAATACATTATTAAAATATTTTTTATATTTATACATATGATTAAGATTTTATAAATTAACCTAATTTAATTACAGATATATATTTATTTTTTGAATCTTCAGTTACTAATTATAATAATCCTTATTAATGAGATTTACCATCTTTTTTTTACAAATTTATTTTATTAACAAAATTAACACATTTATCAATTAATTAATCATATGTGAATTCATTCATTTCTAATACTTTAATTAAAAATCTATCAACACTATCAAAATTTAAAAAAGTTAATAAACCTCTTAAATCCCATGGTTAACATAGTTATTAATTTGGTATTTTTAATCTTAATACTTCTTTATTTTATAAAATTTCTTCTGCTGTATGTAATAAATCTTCATAATCTGCAACTAATAAGAATTAATCACTAGCACTTAATTTATGTAAATAATGTTAAAAAGATTAAAATGGTATAATTTTATTTGATTCAACAGCTAAACAATCTGCTAAGAATTTTACATCTTTTTCTGTAACATCTGGTATTTTAAGATCCATTACACAATCACAAAAATCATGATATGGCATTTCATTAACTCTAAAAAGATGAGTCAAACCTAATTATCTATAAATTAATGTATTTTTAACTTTTGCTAAAGTATTAAGCATTTTTTTTATTTATAATCCTTCAGAAATTGATAATAATTTGCTTGTAATTTATTTAATTCTTATTATAGGTTCATCATTAAGATTTTCAGAATAGAGATCAAAAAATTCAGAAAATAATGCTTAATTTTCAGAAACAGCACTCATAAATTATTTTTTAGTTAATATACCATCACCATTTTCATCAGCCATTGCTAATCTAGCTAAAAATTATCTAGGTATTCCTAATTTTTAAATTTCTTTTATAATTTAATCAGGACGTGATATCATTCTTAATTTATAGATTAATTTATCATTTTCAAACTTTTCCATTAATGATTTTAAACTTACAAAATCATTTTAAACAAAATCATTTAAATCTTTTTCATTTGAATATGCTTTAAATTTCATAAGTAATTTTTTAAATTAATGTTTCATTAAAATTTTATCATTACTTAATCTCATTGCTTTTTATAATTCAAATTCAAGTGGTAAATCAATTTTTCCTTCTCTTACTAAACTTTATAATTTAGATTCAATTTAATTTTATATCTTAATTACAGGTTTGTATTCTTCTGAATATTATACAATATATTTAAATTCCTCAAATGATATATTATGTGGATTTAAACATTAACAAGATCTTAATAAATTATATACATATGAATAACTTAATATTCCACCACAAGAATGAGAAATTTCATTTAAAATATCTTATTAACATGGTTATTTATTTAATGTTAATTATTTACTAAGTTTTATTAATTATCTTTTTGTATGAATTTTTAATTATTCTTTATTTAATTCTTTCTCTATACCAATAACTCCTCTTGCTCTCTTTCCCATTAATGCTTATTATAAAATTCTTTCTAAATCACTTTAAATTTAATTAAGAATATTTTGAGGAACACTTACATCTAATTGTGTTGATGGTATTTCTAATGATTATCTATGAACTAAAACTATTTTAACAGGATTAAGTAAATTCTTTGAATTTTAACCCATAGGTATTTCTGTCATTATTATCATAAATTCTAAACTTAATAAAGTACTACCAAGTGAAGCATCTTCACTTTCAAAAGGAGTTTAAAGTAATCCTGTATTAAGTGATACTATTTTTTGTAATTCTAATTAATTTACAAGAGGAACTTATTAATTTGAAGTAAATTCTTCTAATTCCTTATAATATCCAGGTTTAACACGTACTTATACTTTAGATGATTATTATTAATAACTAACTGGATCATAGAAATTAATTCCTTCAGTAGTAGCAACCATTATTAATTAATTAAATGGTAAATATCCAATTTAAGATATTTATGCATTTAATTTTATATTGATTTATGGTTTAATTGTCCATGGAGGATTTACATCATATTTAAGTGTTAAATCTCTATAAATAGTCCAAATACATAATTCTAAACCATCAGCACTTAAAAGACATCCAGATTCATTTACATAATATAATATAGGTGCTTCTTTATGATGTTCTAATAAAGCTAAAATATTTTTATCATTTAAACAAAAAATAGTTCCTCTTTTTGGATAATATACTGATACAATAACAACATTAAGATCATTTATAAATTAAACTTATTTAACTCTTTATTTCATAGCTTATGGTTTTTCACGATATTTAATTCTACCACTTTCTGAATCATAAACTTATTATGATGATAATTAATCAATTTCTGTATCTAATAAACCAAAAGGTAATGATGATAATACAAAATAGAAATCATTTCTATCTAACAATCCTACATTATATACATCACATTATTAAAATAATTTAACTAAATCAATACGATTAGATTCACATCTATATAATAATTCATCATAAGTAATAGGACTTTCAATTAATTTACTAAATTCTTAAAATGAAATACCATTAGGAAAAGCACATACAAAATTATGTCTTACTTATGGTTTCATATTGAATGATTCTAACATCTCAAATAATTATTTTTAAGTAACAATATTCTTTCCATCATCATAAGTACTAAATAATTATCTTAAATTAACTTTAGATATTTTTATTATATTTAATGCATCATATATATTATATTTATTTTTTTATTTATCTTTTAATATTTCTTCATATTATTATTAACTTATATAACCTTCTTCATCACAAATTTAATCAAAATATTATTTAACAATTTCTTTATCTGAACTTTAATTATTAGTAAAGAAATGTAATAATTTACCTTTTTAAACTCTTGAATCTTTAAATTATACCATAAAATTAAGAGATTCTCTTCTTTTTTATTCTTATTATTCCATTTCTGTCAAAGTCATTTCTAATTTAATAGGAAATTTATTATTAGTTTCTTAAATTAATTTTGTAGCTACCTTATTCATAACTTCATTCATATATTTAAAATGAAAATCCAATATACAAACAAAATTAACTATTTTTATTATATGTAATGATATAGAAGATATAATATGAATATGAGTTCTTAGACTTGAAATTACTAATAATAAATCTTCACATTAACATAAATGTTATGCATTTTATTAAGCATTTGGAGCACCCTCTCTTAAATCAATTGCTAATTCATGTCTATCACTTTTTTATGACATACTCCACATTTATAATTACCAATTAGACTTTAATATAAACATCTTTTAATTAAAAATTAGACAATCTACAATAAAAGATTTATTAAATGGAAGTTTAGTTCCAATATTAATATTTTATAACATTCTATTACCACAAATATCTTATGTATAAAGTATACTCTATTTATCAGGCATATATAATCTTTAAGTTAAATAATCATAAGATAATGTTCCTAAGAGATTTGGTAATTCAAAAGATTAAAAAGGATGAAAAATAAATAAATCTTTTATTGTAGGTCTCTTTTAAAATGTTTATTATTTTTATTAAGTAAATATTTATGTTTCTGCAAAATATACAGCACCTTCAACACATTCAAGTATAATTGTTTTAGCATATGAATATAAGTCACCACTCTTTATTTTAGAATATTCATTTTATTTTTATACTGCAGGTAATGTTTCACTCATTTTCTCTTTAAGTGATCTTTTAGTACCTAATGGTTTAGGTTATCTCTTATTCTATTTCTTATTAAATTTACCTGATGCTTTCTTTAAAAAATAAGATTATTTCATTCTTCTCCATAATTTTAAGATTACCATACCAAATTTCTTAAGAACTAATTATTCTCCCAAATAAACATCAGGAAACATTAATTAAAGTAATCTTCCATAATCTACTGTATACATTCTATCTTTAAGACTAATAATTGATGAATCAGCTAATTTTTAGATTTCAAACATTTCTAATTTTAAACCAAATTAATTTAAAATAGATAAAGTTTATTTTAATGTAACTGTTTTCATATCTATACTAATAGTGGCAATCTTTTAAAATTCTTCTAATAATTTAGGTTTTAATTTAGCAACATATGAACCATAATTGAATTTCATTCTTAATTAAATTGGACTTATTTGTTATCCAATCATTATTAATTCTTCAAATTTAGCTAAACTAACACGTGCTGTATATTAATTACTTATTATTCTAAATAAAGCATTTGAAAGAGAGACATCCATAACTTAATTGAATAGAACATTAAGCATTAATAGGAATTCTTTAGGTTCAATGAATTTTTCAGGAAATTTCTAAGTAAATTAACTAAAAAATTATTTAACTGTTAATCCTGATTATTATAATTTTAAGAGAACTTTATTTGAAATTTATTAGATGAGTATTTCTAATTTTAATAGAGAATTCTTATATATATTTGCTCTTGTTTCTATATCAGCCATACTAAAACTAACTCTTTTTCCAGCATTACCTTATTGTGTATTTGTTTTCAATAAATCTAATAATTGATTATCTCTTTCTTATATAAATCCTTACATATCTTCAGCTTATATATAATGATATAAGAATTTAGCATTATCAATTTCAGATTACATATTTTATATCGCTCTTTATTCTTATTATTTATTTTCTTTCTTTTCTTCTCTAACTTCATGAAGCGATTAACGAGTAAATATTTATGAAAAATCTTCAATTGTTAAATAATTCTTATTATTATGATCCAAATAATGAAACATATTATCAAGTTATATTTTTGAAAAACGTAAAGTATAAGTCATTACAAAATCTAAAAATTCAATTTTTTTTATTTTTAATCTATCTGATGCTTAAAGTGAATTTATCATTTCTTATAAATCTTTAAATTCTCTTCTCATTACTTATCTTAATTATTCAACAGTTTATTCTACTTTAAATTAAACACTTAATAAAGAATCATTAGATACAGTTCTAACTTAAATTTTACTTAAGAATTCCATATATTAGATTGAATTATTATTATTTATATCGAAATATTTAAATACAGTTTATAAAACTTCTTCTGCAATAGGGATATTAGAATCTCTGAATGCTTAAATAAATTCATTAAATTCAATATGTCCATCCTTATTATAATCAAATATTTCAAAAACTTCTTTAAGTGATTTATCTGAATTACTAATTTTATCTTTAATAATAATAAATAATTCTTCAGCATTAAGACTTGACATAATTCTTATTTACTTTTATACTTCAGTCATATGATTTTTATATCTACGAAATGCAAGTTATATTAAATTAGCTGCATTCTCTTCATTAAATTTTTGATGTGTATAAATACTCTAAAATTATCTCATTTCAATCAAAATAGGTAATTTAATATAAGTATTGCGAATAATTTATAGATAATTTATTAATTATACTTTTGGTCTAATAACACCCATAACATTTAAAAAGTCTACAAATTCCCTCGTCTCTATATGTTTAAAATTAATCTTCATGAAATCTTCAATTAAACAATACCCTTTATAACATTATTATAATAATCCTTCTCTTTTTGGTCTTTCTGGTTCCAATTATTTATTTTTCAATATCAATTTAACTAAATTTATTATAATTATTTACTCTTTCTACTATAGTCATTCTCATTACAATGTTTATAAAATGCTAGTCTATTCAATCTTATATATCTTCTCCAACTAGTGAATAATCCTTCTTACACTATTTTTATTGTTGGTGCATGTAAGATATCTCTAATTTCATAATCTAATAATCATTTTGATTGAATACCTATGAAATCCTCTTATTTAGGAAATGGAAGTTTATCTCTTTGACTGAATTGAACTAACTAATCATATTGGAAGTCTGCATCTTCCTTATAAAGATCATTGTCTAAATCAGTTGTCATTAATATTAATATTTATTATTTATTAATAAAATCAATTTTCTCACATTTACTAATCAGAAGTTATCCAACAATAATTCTTGCATTCATAAAATCTATAAATTTAATACTTCCTTTTGTTATAATCTTTAATTTCTTATTCTCCTCATTATATATTAATTAATATCTTAATCAATTCAATAATTAAAAGAATCTCTTAAAAACAAAGAATAATATAAAGAATTTCACTTTAATCTTTGACTTTAAATCAGATTCTTTTACTACTATAATTGTTTAGTATATTTCATATCCTATTAATTGGTTACTCTTATTTAAATCTAATTATTATCACTTAAAAGTAATAATTCTAAATAATCATAAATGTATGATATTTTAGGAAACACCTCATTTTAGTAATTAAAACTATTATAACTCATAATTGAATTTAATATTAATTTATTAATATTTAAATAATGAGTGCCTGCATATATACTTGTCTTCTTTAATTAATAGCAGGTATCATCTATCCACTCAGACAGACTTATTAAGCTTACAAATTACAAGAGAAATTATAAATTTGGATTGTCTATTGGATTTTGATGAGTTCAATATATTTATTAGAGGAAATATCATTCGGAGTATTGTTCATGTATTTATTAAATATAAATTAATAGGATTCCAGGATATTCAATACTTAAGACTTTGTATGCAGTCTGGCTATACCATGAAAAAACTCAAGGAGCATTACTCATTGGCACTTTGCTTAAACCTGTATTTAACAAAATTAAAGTAATTATGGCTCCAATTTAAGAGAAATTAGATATTCTTGAAAAAGTTAAATGAATTATATATATAAATTTTCAAAGAACTATAAAAAATATAATTTTATATATAAATAATTAAAATATGTTGTCAAAAATAAAATGTCTGTGTTGGATTATTATGAAATTGTAAATAATCTATTTATTTTTAGTAAAATGATCTTAATATATTTTTTTGAATTTAATTAAGTATCAAATTATAGTTTATGGTTAAAAACAGAATAGAAACACCTTTAACTAATAGATTCTATTCCATAGATTATTTTATTATTGATTAATGTTATATTATTACAATTAGTAAATTAAAATTAAATTAAAAAGCAATGCATACTTAAAGTGACTTATAAAAAATAAGTTTTAGTTATATTTTATAGTCAAATAAAAATGTAATCGTCTTTGTAATAGTAGTAACAATATGAAGAATATTATTTATTCAGACTTATATAGTTAATAATTTATAGAATAATGTAATCAATTCTTGATTTCCAGGTTAGTTAGAATTAACTCTCTAATAATTTCTTGAATTAACTTCTTTATTCACATTTGTAAAATGGGTATATTGGAAATTAAATGCAATATTTTCAATTCTAAAATATTTATATTGATTAAATGACTATTCTTGAAATATTGTTTATGCTTTTGCTATAACAGTGATCAATAAAATAGATATAAATATGGACTTCATTTTAAATAATAATATTATTAAGTAATATCTTAAATTTAAATCCATAAAAATAATTAATTATATCCCCCTTCAATCTGTAATATATGATATTATTTATTAGTTTTATTAATAATTATGATACATTGAGATTATGATTTAATTAATAATTTATGGTTTGTAGTTAAATGAAATAAAAATATATACAATCATTACCATAATTTATTCATAGAAGTATTATTGAAACTTTTGGATGCCCAATCCATAGTAAACATCTATAAAATAATTAAATAAAATAGATACAGTTTTTTATTTTAGATTTGGTTAAAAAGTAGGTAAATATTTATTCTCTAATTTATGTAGATTTTCTTATTTTTTTGATTGATACTCAAGTAATCTATCTTCTACTTTGATAGAATTATAATTTTCTATATTTCTTTTTTAGATTTATGGTCTAAATGTTAATGAAGATAGCATATCCTTATCCTTTTTCATTTATTCAGTTAAAATGTGTTCATTTCTTTTTTCTAACCAATGAATTTACGAATTAGCAAATTCTTCAACATTAATTTCCTATTACATAGATTTATTGTGATCCTTCTTTTTTGACCACTTCTATTTCTCCTTTTCCCATTATTCTTATTCTATTCTAATGGATTCCTCTTCCTTTTATTTTTTTAGTTCATTCTAAGATTTCACCCAATCTTCTTTTTTTTTAATGACATTTTATTAACGAATATGTAATGGTACATAATATTAACATTCAGTTTTAACTCTTTGTCCTTAAGTTTCCATAAAATCCAAACGTTTTTGTCTTTAATTTTATACCTTTTTATTAGGAGTATCTTGAGTTATAAATTATGTTGTTTATTATTATTATTATTATTATTATTATTATTATTGTTATTTTTTAATTGTATCACCAATTTTAAATTTAATTTCATTAGTTTATACAATTGCATGACATTAATCTTATTGATATTAAACATCCTCTGCAGGATCTACTGGTTCCATAATATTCTCTTCTTTAATTATTTGTATTTCCTATTCAATATTTTATGTCTTCTTAGCACTATTAATAAATATTTCATTATACTTTATAGATAAATAATCTTTAAGTTTTGGTAAATTAGGTAATAAATCAACTTATACATCTACATCTTTAAACTAATATATCATTTTATAATCTTCTTCTTCATTTACAAGTTATTTTAGTTTTCTTTCTAATAATTTACAACTTTTTTCATTTATCATAGGTCTTGCACTCATAATTAATTTATCTTTATTTTTCTCTTCTTCAACCATTTTATTCAATTATTTTAATCTTTATTTTTCATAATTATATAATCTGTTAACTGTTTCTTAAAATACTAAAAATTATAAGTGTTATAATTACCTTCATTAAGATCTTCTTATGTATGTTCTATTTTACTCTATTTCATTTTTTCTTCTTTTTGTTTTTCTTCTTCTCTCTTTTTTTTAACTTCTTCTGCTTTTATTTAAACATTTTTAATATTTTAATGTACTTTATCCATTTCTAAAAATAATAATTATAAATACATTTAGGTTATTTTTACTTAATTGTAATTTCATATTTAGGAGCTTCAACAATAGGTTTTTATGATTTCTTATGCAATTCAGTCTTTTTTTTATTGAGTGCATCTTTGAATACATTTGATTAGTTGCTATATTTTCCATTCTATAATTTTAATATAGATGTTCCAACTTAAGGATTCCTTGATGTTTATACCAATCTCTAAGGTGAGAGAGAATTACCTAGAGATTCTGCTTGTAGATATCTCTCCATTGATTATGATTAAACACTTTCTTTTGAGTCATCTAATTGTTAATTCATTTGCAAATAAATTTTAATAATATATGTTAATAAAATTACTTATCATTTATTATCATTAAAAGTAATATACAAAACTAATTAAATTTACAATAATATATAAAATATTTTTAGAATTATGGATGTATTAAAATATATCCAAAGATATATATATCATATTTTGTTTAATAATTATAGTATATGATAAATATAAATATAAAATAAATTATGAAACCTATATTAAATTTAGATTTTAGTGAAGTCAAATTTGATAATGAATAGATACCTAATTACACAAAAGAATTTATGGATTAAATGAGAGATCATATGTATCATGTTAGAAAGTTTGAAGAGATGTAAAAAAATCAAATTCCAAAATTTCTTCCATAAAGACCAATGAGTGCTTAAGCTAAGAAAGTTAAGACAATTCCACAAAAAAAACATAAATACTTAAAATAAAAACAATAAGTTATAACAAAATAATAAGCAACACCACAAAATACTTCAAATATGATTAAGATTGCATAACCCTATATATCTGAAACTATTCCTGTAATTAATTCTAATTTATTGATTTCTGGTTCAGATGTATAACTCACTAAATAACCTAATAGTTCTAAAGTATGTAAAACATAAGCACCATAATAACAACAGCAATAACAATAACAGAATAATAATAAGCCTTAACAACAAGATTAACCTGTAAAAAAAGAAATTTATAGTCTTTTTGAATGGGAAGAAGATATTGATGGGTAATTTTATATTAAAGAAGCGTTCTAGTTATAGGAAAAAAATAAAAGACTCTCAACAGTTGAAAAATCTAATAGAGAATAGTTTCTATAAAAAGCTAAAGTTTAGAATACAACATCATCAAAAGAAGATATGTTAAAAAAATAATAGTTTGAAATTCAATAAAAATAAAATAAATTAGAATAGTTAAGATAAAATAATAATGTTTATTAAGAAATAGTAAATAATAAAAAAGATTAAGAAGATGATTATGATAATGATTTTGAAGATGAGGATTAAATCATAAAATAACCTATTCAATAAGAAGATGATGATTATGGTAAAGATGGATTTGAAGTATATGATGATGATAAAGTTGTAGGAATTATTGAAGAAAATAAAAATTAATAAAAATAAATTGATATTTTAAACAAAAAATAATAAAATAAAGCTAATACAGATTCTAAAAGTACTTTAACTTAAAATTCTAAAAATAAAAAGAAATTTATGTATAGACCAAAAAATGCTAAAGAAAGAAAATAAGAATTAGAAGGTATGAGAGAAGAACTTGAAAAAAATTTAATTTAAAATGATAGTGAATCTGCCAATCTATATAAATTATTATAAGATTCAAAAGAAAAAGAAAAAGTAATGATTGAAGTTAATACAAAAAGAAAAAAAGATTTAGCTTTGGCTCGTTTAACTTTACAACAATTATCAGAATAAATTGATTAATAATTACACATCATTGATGTAATAGGAATTTTAATATCATTAGGATTTAGATAAAAAAGAACATTATGCTTAATAAATTATTGAAAAACTCAAAGATAATAGAAAAAAGTAATAATAATAATATGATAATGAAATTGAAAAATTCTTAGCTTGTAAAGTGATTGCAAGATTACTTAAAGGCAAAAAAGATAGAAGATTATTTTTAGAGTTAAGACGTTAAAAGTTTATGAATATGCTCAAATAATGATTATAATAATTTTAATTAAATGCCATTATTTATTGATTATCTAGTTGACATAGGGATGATTGTTAACAAATATTCAATATCTTCAAATAACATATTATTTTCCCTCTCTGATTATTTGAAGAATCTATCAGCTTCAGATTCCTTTGATATGGCATTAAGATTATATGATAGTTGGAAATTACAATAAACATAAAAGAAGAATCCAGGAAATCTAATTAAAATCCTATCTAAAATAGCAGTTCGTAAACCATTCAAAATGTTACAATCTTATTAAAAAAGTACAAAAATGTAATTCAGTCCAAATAAAATTCGAAATTCTTAAAAATCTACTATTAGTGAATAATAATCATATCAATCACCTATTAATAAAAAGGCATTAAGTTAAATGGGTTTTAATGATACTTGTGAGAGACTATATATGGATGGAATAATTTAAAAAGTGAAAAAGTATTTTTATAATAACTGACATAGAGGATAATATGAATAGGAAAAATAACAATTAGAATTAAAGGAATGCACATTCAAACCATAAGTTAATGTTGACACACTTAAATAAAATGAAATTGAAGTTTTTGATCGACTCTATAAAACTTAACTAATTAGTAAAAATGATTTTTCTGAAATTAAATAAAAATAAGAAATTAGTTAATGCACTTTTACACCATCTATTAATAAACAAGAATCTATATCTAATTTTTAAACTATTGAAAATAAGTAAATTATTATCTTAATATAAGATAACAACAACCTATTTTTGATAGATTATTTTAAGAATCTATTTCAAGAAGTAATTTAAAATAAAGTTATGTTCCTGTTAGGGAATAAAAAGAATTATAAGAATGTACATTTAAACCTTAGATTTCCCATAGATAATTAAATAGAAGTGGAGATGATAGTATTTATTATTAAATATTAATTAATAGTCTTTAAGAGATTACATAATGAATCTGCTGAAAAATAATAAGTTTAAGCATTTTAACGTCTAGATAAAGAAACAAAATAGTTAGAATAATGTACTTTCAAACCAAAAATTAATACAAATTTTAATTTTTCACCAAATTAACAACCTGCTTTTGATAGATTATATATGTTATCAACTAAATCTAAGAAAAATCTTTTTGATGATAGCTAACAAAAATAAAATAATAATAAAACTAAAGATTAATCATCAATTTAAAATAATGAATCACTTTATGAAAGAATGAAAAATCATGTAGATAAAAAGAAAAGACATATATATCATATTAAATAAGAAGTAGATAAAGAACTAACATTTAAACCTAATATCAATATGAGATCTTAAAATAATATTTAAAGCAAATAATAAACTAATAAATACTAATCTGTTTAGTCTGTAAAATCAGAACCTAAATTAAAAGCTACATCTAATACTTTATCTACATATGTTTATAACACTAGAAAGTCTCAATAAGATAAAGAAAATAGTAATTTATCAATGTATTGTGAAACTGCCTATTTTTAAGAGGATCAAAAATTAAAGTCCAATATTTTAGATTTAAAATTATGAGCTTTTTAATATATATCACTATCATAAATTTGATAATTCTAAAATAGTGTCACTTCCTTAATATTCTGGTACAATAAAATTATATTTTTCTTAAAGTTTTAATGGAATGAATCTTCCTCCTATAAAATGTCTTCCCTTAAAACTCTTTACTCCTAATTTAGGAAGAGTTAATGAAATTAAATATTCTGGAGTAAATAAATCTTGAGTATTTCCTTACTCAACATCCCAACCAGATGGAATATCTACTGATAATATTGGAGTCTTTGTTGTCTTTAATTAATAAATAGGTTTATCATATGGTTCTCTGAGTGGAGGTTTAAAAGAAAATCCAAGAATAGCATCGATTAATAAATCATATTTTTCAAAATCTTACATTTCATAATGAATTGGAACTAAATTGTATTTACATTGATTTAGCAATCTATTAAAAAATGGATTTTTAACTTCTCTAAATAAGGCAATTTCAGGTTAAAGTCCAAACTATTTTAAATGTCTAGCTGAAACAATACCATCTCCTCCATTATTTCCTGGTCCACATAAAACTAAAATTTTATTATAAGATTTTCCTTCCTTATTTAATTAAACAACTGTATTTGCAATACTTTATCCAGCCAATTCCATTAATTAATCTAAAGTAAATCCCACATCTTCAGACATCAATTCAATATCAAATTATTATGATTGTATCTAATTCAAATATGATATTTTGGTGAGTTGCTACATAAATCTATATTATAAAAATTTATTAATCATATTTTATTTATATAAAGTATTAATTGTAAATGTTATTAGTATAGAGTACATATAATAATAATAATATTTTTGTTTTGGTATTATATCACTTGATTATAGTTTAATGTTTATTATTTAGATATAAGAATTTATGATTTAAGATTGAAATCAATCAAGATTGTTAGAATAATTAAAATAATAGTTATATAATATATGTAAGACGGAGGGAATGTTTAAGATAGAGATTTATTTATGAAAGAGATGGATAATTTGATATCATAAAACTAATTTGGTTAAGCAGAAGTTTAATTAACAAAATATATTGAAAAGAATGAAGCTGATTCAGATGCTTTTAAAAAGAGATCTAATTTATATTTGAAGAACGGTAAATATATATAAGCGTTGCATGATATAGAGAAGGCTATGCTTTTGGATTCTTCAATGCCTTGTTGCAAAAGCAGCTATGAACATTATTAAATAAAAAAGGGATTAATGAGAATGAGTAATGACATTTGAATTTATAAAATAATAAAAAATTATAATTTATGGCATAAAATCTAATATCAGCTATAGCATGGGTTTCAAGAGGGTATGCAATAAAATAGCCTAAAGAATTTGATTTAGATGAAGAGGAGATCAATTAGATGAAGTAAGATAAACTAATAAATAAAAAGTAAAAGATTTAAATAAGGTTTAGTTTGACATAAGATTTGGGTAAAATACAAGAGTAAGATGAAGATTCAAGTGAAGACAATCTTCCAGTATTTTGTTAAGATTTAGAAATGCATGGAAAGTAGTAATTGCCAGATGATGGATATCCAGTAGCAATAGAGGATTTGAGTGATGAAGAAAAAGAAGATTATCAAATCAAATCATCAGATGCTTTGATTATAGCTGCTAAGATCGTATTAAATAAATAAATGCTAAATTTTAGGAAAATGAGTTTTCATCATTAGAAGTGTATATTTATGAAGAAGAGAAGGCCAATTTATTTGTGCATCATGAGATATAATTATCAGCATTCCCTTTAGCAGTAGAATGGTTACCAATATAACCAGGTTAAATTGAGAGTACATCTGCAATCAAGGGTAATTATGCAATAGTTTCATCATTTTTACCTGAAATAGAAATTTGGAATTTAGATGTAGTCAATGTATTGGAACCATCTTTAGTTTTAGGAGGAGAGATTGAACAGAATTATAAGAAAGTTAAAAACTTAAAGAAATAGAATAAGAAATCTTATAAACCTGATAGTCATACAGATTCAGTTTTGAGTTTGTCTTTGAATTCATTTAAGCCAAACATTTTATTATCAGGATCAGCAGATCATACAGTTAAAATATGGGATTTAATGCTTTAGAAATGTGTGTTTACTTACAATCATCATAAAGATAAAGTTTAAATCTCTAAATTCAATACAAAAGAGGAAAGTGTAATATTATCAGGAGGTGAAGATGGAAAACTTTGTTTATTTGATGCCAGATCACCAGATTCAATTCATTAACATAAAATGTTAGGATCTTTGGAAAGTGCTTGTTGGGATCCAATTAAAGGATATTAAATAGCATATTCTACTGAAGATGGAAATTTAATATTATTAGATGCTAGAAAAATAGGTGAATAACCATTAGCTAATTTTAATGTAAATAAAAAGGCACTCAGTAGTGTACATA